GTTTCAGGTTCTAGGTCACTCGTGGGGCCCAGGGCGCGTAACAGAGGCAAGAACAGGGGCCCCCCGAAGCAAAACGGTGGGCAGCACGAGGTGCATTTAATGACCGTACGCGGGCCACGGCTATTATTATCATCCATTTCTGCATTCTATCGGCGATCGCGTGTGCAACAGGCCCCGCAGCCAGCGTTCCACGCTTTCGTCGGGGAACGGAGGCGTCCGCGACCTCCTCTTTAACAGAGAACTCGCTGGAATTACGTGTCTCTCGCCCCGAGTTTCGCTCTTTCCCGCGGCGATCCGCCGGGGGACCGTATAATCGCATTAAATTCCCAGAGACGGGGACTGTCTAAATATATGGACGAGGCACAGCACGCCGCATAACAAGGCGTGGGTACGTAATCGATGTACACCGTCGAGGAAACCTTCGATAACACGGTTCTGGTGTTCTCAACCCTCGCGATCGGTTTATTTTCACTCGTAAGGCCCATTTTCAGATTGGGCCTTATTCATCTTTTCTGCGATTTTTCTTCTTCTGGGGACGCCAGAATCGCCCCACTGTGGGGGAAATAGTGTCTGTGTATGATTTGATGCAAAATAGGAAATTGGGCCCCATATCGAATTTGAACATTCTTTATTCCTTGGTTTGTCGCATATCGTTGGACTCGTCTTTTTACGCTCTCTAAGAATATAAACAAAAAATATATGGTCGTTTAAACAATCTTTTTTTTATATTTGCTTCAGAAGAAATCATGCGAAATAATTTTTTGTTTAAATCATATTATTATTCGATTCTATTTTTTAAAAGTTGTACTATTTGATGAAGCAAATATAACCTCAAAAAAAATATTTCTTTCAAGGTCAATTTTTGAAATTTCGAAGATATACAAAACCTGTATAGGAACTATATTATTTCAAACAGTAGCACAATTCTAAGGCCCCCAAAAACAAGATAAACTGTATTTTGCACGTCAGTTTTTTGGGACAGATGAGTCCCAGTGAGCCGTGCACCTGCAAGAGGGTCGAGATCTCGTAGATCTGAGGACGATGAGGATCACTGTCCTAGAAGTATCAAAATGGAAGGAGTCGAAGGCTCCGAAGGCAGTATGGCTCCTCGAGTCGAGGCTATTCGCGAGCTAAAACCGAGAAGTTTGTTCCCTGGTCGTGGAACGAACGAGAAGGAGAACCTGGGCGAAGGAAATAACAGAGGGCTCTGTTCCCCCGGGTTTGTAGGGAGAAAGATAGAACGAACGAGGGGGGGCCTTACATAGCGATTGCTGGCAGGGCCTGAAATAGACCTCGAGAATCCTCGTGCAGCATCCTCTCCCGCTCTTGGGCATCGCCTCCTTCTTATCCTCGGCTTCTTCTTCTTCTTCTTCTTCGTCCAGCCCGTCGTTGCAGCTTCTCCCCCGAGAGCCACCGACGGGTTTCTTTGCTTTTGTTTCGGGCAAAAAAGGACCAAAGTCCCTTGACTCGGCCTGTGAGAAGTTGTTCCTAGCGTCCCGTTCGCGGGAAGAAGACCGTGGAAAAAGGTGGAACGGAGACGAGGGAACGGAGAGAAGAGGAAGGTGGTGGAAGATCGCTTGTTTATCCAGGATCGAGCTTCTGCTTTCGTTTCGATATATGGCCACGGACAGACCCCCGTAGGCATCCTCGGGGCCCCTAAGTGCGCTCGTGAATACGACGCGTTCCCATGGGAATACGCGTCGCTGAGAATCTCCCTCTAAACTGACCTGCGCCAATGCAACAGCGAAACGTGACCCACGCAACCACGATCCAACGTGGATTCGAACGCGCCCCTGGCCTCGCCTTTTTCCTTTTACCCTCGTTACAGATAAGCGGGGGACCTTGTTGCCTAACGAACGGCGTCGTTATATTAAATTCCTATTCCGCTACCAACCGGAACTGGTCGTAAACAGGACGATAAAATGGAAACATAATTAATTCACTTGGCTCGTAAACGCGGGGAAAATTATTTTTTAAAAAAAGGGAGCAATTTTTAGACGAGTTTTGGTCATTCGAGAGGAATCGAGTCCTTTGCGGTCACGGATGTCGAATCGACGAACGAAGAGGATCTCTTTTCAACGACACGCGGTGTAACCAAAGTAACCCAGGGGGCAAGGATCGTTCCGAGGAGAAAAGTCGAGACCGCGGGACCGTATTCCAGGAGCAGGTGATCCCTCGAGCGAGAAGACGCGGTCAGAAATGAAGCCTACCTTGAGACACGGGCGTTTTTGCGCCCGTCGATACGGTCCCCAGGAGCGAAGATGCTCCGCGAGATGGAATCTTATCCAGCGTGGTCTCGACGCGGTGCATTAAGGTGCTAACGTCCAGGTGAAAATCATTCTTTAGAGCCCTAACTATAAAAATTAGTTGCATTTATAACGAATAAAATTGCGAATGATCGGTCCGGTGGACAAAATCGATAATCAAATTCTGGCACGCTATCTTATGGAGAAAAGTCAGGAGAATGCAATGCAATACTCAAAAATGAGTGTTATCGTGTTGGTTTTCGAGTTGCTCGCGAATAAATTTTGCGACCGATCGGTCCGGTGGAAAAAATAGATGTATGATCAAATTCTGACACGCTATCTTATGGAAAAGAGTCAGGAGAATGCAATGCAATACGCAAAAATGTGTGTTATCGTGTTGGTTTTCCAGTTGCTCGCGATTTAAGTTTGCGACCGATCGGTCCGGTAAAAATATCGACGTATAATCAAATTCTGACACGCTATCTTATGGAAAAGAGTCAGGAGAATGCAATGCAATACGTAAAAATGTGTATTACCGTGTTGGTTTTCGAGTTGCTCGCGATTTAAGTTTGCGACCGATCGGTCCGGTAAAAAAAATCGATGTATTATCAAATTCTGACACGCTATCTTATGGAGAAGAGTCAGGAGAGTAAGAAAAAATGTATGTCGCGTTGGTTTAAACGATTGTGAGACGATTATGCATTTTTCAGAGGACGCCTTAATGGAGGTGGTGGAAAAAAACTAAGCACGGAAAGACGGAGGGAATAAGAATAGACGGCGCCAAAGGCTTAACAAGGAAACCGGTTCAAACCCCCTGCACACGACCAGTGTACCGACTTTCAGGGAGATTCCTCCGTCACTTCGATCACCGTGCAATATATTGAACGCGAGGATGGCTCGCTGGAATTTACGAAATTAACCCTCTGTCCAAATATGAACTTGCTATGCATTTGCTTTGCCAATCGTCATGAATATTATTATCGATTGCCTCAGAAACATTATATAATTAAGAGACCTTGTGAAAAAAGTAAAATTATTTGGTAAAATTTCGATATATTGGCACGTGATCTGATTGATCTGAGTGTTAATTTTTTATGACATGAGTGTTAATCGATGTATCGATTTTCAGTAGATCGTTGACAGCCCCGACGATAACGTCGTTAATCGCCGAACCGATGACATCGTTTAAGATGGAGAACAGAGATTTTGAAGGATGGTATGCGAAGCTCGCGGGCACAGAAATGATGTCTGCCTTGAAACCGGGGTCTTTTTGCAACGCGTCGTCGATACAATTCCATTCAGGACGATGAGGACCGTGAAGAGACGCCGATGCGAAATTCCATCCGGCGATGTTCGACGTAAAACAAACCGAACGAGCCTCGTTATTAATAGCGTGCCACTCTAAATAGCACGGAACACACCGGAGTTCCACCAACAAACAATCTCTTCGCGTAAACTACGTTTACGTTTCATTCTCCTTTGTTGGCTGAATTGCCTTCTTCCCGAGCAATTACAACACTGATAATTGCAAACTAACTTTGCTCTTTTCAGCTCTTTTTCAGAGGTCAGGAAAACACTTGAGCTTGGTCAGTTTGCAACTATGGGGGGCAGTAGGCATCCCCCATTTTCTTTTTTATAATAGATTCTTTTGCACCTCTTTGAATGGACTTTGTGCCTCGATAGTTGTACATAGAGTCTTTTGGAAAGTTCAGGAAAATTCTTGAGCCTAGTCAGCTTGTAACTATGGGGGCTAGTGGTCATCCTCATCCCCTTTGAAACCCCCCATTTTCTTTTTTATAATAGATTCTTTTGCACCTCTTTGAATTGACTTTGTGCCTCGATAGTTGTACATAGAGTCTTTTGGAAAGTTCAGGAAAATTCTTGAGCCTAGTCAGCTTGTAACTATGGGGGCTAGTGGTCATCCTCATCCCCTTTGAAACCCCCCATTTTCTTTTTTATAATAGATTCTTTTGCACCTCTTTGAATTGACTTTGTGCCTCGATAGTTGTACATAGAGTCTTTTGGAAAGTTTAGGAAAATTCCTGAGCCTAGTCAGCTTGTAACTATGGGGGCTAGTGGACATCCTCATCACCTTTGGAACCCCCCATTTGCCTCAACCCTTAAGTAGATTTTATTGAACTAATAATAGTCTTATATACCTCAATATAATTATTGATCAGTTCACTATTTTTTAGATACTTTAAATTTCCATTTACCAATTTATTAAAAATCAAAATTGAAATTAGGGGGTCCACTTAAGATGCTTTAAAGTCAATTTCCATTCACCAGAATTAACTAGAATAATTCAGTCGGAGTTAATGAAGAGTCCGCCGAATCCCACGATCCCCCCACGCCGTTGTAGCCAAAAAAACGATCGCCAATAGTGATTTTTCGATTCTTTTGTTCGACCAGAGCCTCCTCGGAGACGATTCAGACGAGATTCGCGAGATCCTCGAGACAGTTCCTCCCGTGAGATCAAAGTTCGAACGCCCGTCTCGTGTCAACGAACGCCATCCACTGAAACCCCCGGGGGCCCCCGTAGACGGTCTCCGTTTTTTTCCCCCCCTCCCCTCCCCCCGACCTCGTCACCTTGCGAGTTTTTTGCACCGTCGACGAAGAAGTCAATTACATTTCGGATCGGTTTGTATCTCCCCCGGTCGATACGTCTCGCCGTCCCTGTTTCTCCCGCGTCCCTTTGCGGGGCTCTCTCGTCCTGCACTAGGTTGGCCAGTGAATCATCTTCAACGACCCCCCCCTCCCCCCCCGCCCGGGGATCCGGGCAGAAGACTCTTAAGGGGGCCCACGGCGCAGCGCGAGGCCAGTTCGAGAACGCGACCCTAACACTAACATCCGGTGTATTCCGAGAGTCGGAAACGGAAACGGCTGCTTGATCGATTAACCGCCACAACATGAAGATCGCTCTGCTGCTGCTGCTGGCCGTCCCAGCCTTTGCCTCAGGTTAGTAACACTGATCATTGAAAGAATGGGCTACGTTCGATCGATTTTGGATTTCTCGTGTTTCTGCGTTTCTCGTTTTCTGGCTCGCGTGTCCGTTGGAACCGCGCCAGGATTTTTCTCCGCTCCGTGTGGCCCCGGGATCTCTTTGTTCGACGACGTTCGCTCGCCACCGTACTCTTGTTTCTCCGACATCGACGTCCGGTGCGCTCCAAGAGGAAACGTGCCATTACCGATCACGCGCGCGACTTCCAAGATCGTTTTGCTTTCGGTGAAACGCCGAAAAATCATCGTCGATCTTACGTTCCACCGAATTTGGTTTATCGAAGTAGCTTGAGTTGGACCCATTTGTATCTTGCTTTATGGAAATCGGAGATGCTCGAAAGTCTTTCGAAAGAGAATTTTGTGTAATGTTAGAACGTTAATATTTTGTTTTTTTATATGGTTGTATGGGAAATTAAATTAAAATAGATACTAGAATTTTTTAATCGGTATTATAGTCTTTGAAATTGATCAAAATTTGAAAGCAGTTTTTTTTTCAAAATTATACACATTTCAAAATGGAATTTTGTATAATATTATGACACAAATGTTCATTTGTTTATCACGTAGCTGTACGATAAATAAATTTCAATTTTTTCATTAGTATGATAGTCTTTAAAATGATCGATATACGGGGTGTTCGACCAACCCTGGGAAAAATTGTAATGGGAGATTCTAGAGGCAAAAATAACACGAAAATCAAGGATACTAATTTGTTGATTGAGGCCTCGTTAAAAAGTTATAGAAACTTTTCCGGACACACGGTATATTTTCGGAAAAGAATTTTTTTCTCGAAAGTGCGTAGGAATTCGAGGGTGTGTGTATTCACCAAAAATGATTGTAATTAACTCCCTTAGCTAAAAATAATTTTTTTAGAATCATTTGAAATTTTTTAATTTTGTCGAATTTGTCCATCTTCCTGAATTTTTTTCTCGAAAGTGGGTAAGAATTTGGGGGTATGTCTATCCACCAAAAATGACTGTAATTGACCCTAGTAATCAGAAATAATTTTTTCAAAACGATTTAAAATTTTTCAATTTCGTCGAAAAATTTAGGCACCTTATGCCCTGTCGATTTTTCTTAAAGATTCGTTTTCGATTTTTAATAATTTTGTTTGACGCCCGACAGAAAAGTTGTCTAATACTTTTCTGTAGGTACCCATGAGCTCTACTTCAGAAAAAAGTTTCATTGAAAAATAGTCACTATTGTAGGAGTTACGGCTTTTCGAAAATTGGACCATTTTTATGGGCTCTCCCTCATTTTGCGATGTCAAGGATCAACTTTTTGATCATTTTTGGAATTTCTACATATTCTCCATCAAAATACGCGTCATTTGCATTTTTAAACATTAAAATCGCCCAATCCGTTCAGAAGTTATGACATTTTAAAGATTAGCATGAAATTTTCGGGCAATATTTCTGGCCATAAATTACATTTCCAATTAGGAATTTTTTTCTCTAAAACGCGTAAGAATTCGGGGGTATGTCTAATGACCAAAAATGATAGAAATTGACCCCTACAACCAAAAATAATTTTTTTAGAACGATTTGACATTTTTTGTTTCGCCCAAAAATTTCACACCTATTCGAATTTTTTCCTCGAAAATGAATAGAATTTCGGGGGTATATCTAATGATAAAAAATGATTATAATTGACTCCTGCAAACGAAAATAATTTTTCCAGAATGATTTGAAATTTTTCAATTTAATTGTTAATAACTTTTTAACGAAGCCTCAATCAACAAATTGATATTCCTGATTTTCGTCTTATTTTGACCTCTGGAAGGTCTAGAGGTGGCCGAACACTGTATAATTGCACGTCGAAAACATTTTCTGTTAAAAAATTATACTTTCAAAACGGAATTTCATATAATATTATAACATAAATATTCATTATTTTTTTTTTTAATGAAACATCACACAAATGTCACATTTGAAAGCAGTTTCTCCTCTAAAATTTACATAGAATTTATAATGTTTAGATATCCTTTCCCCTGAAGCTTCCTTTGGAGGAATTCATATAGCAAAATGGCGACCAGTGTATCTCCTAAATAAAGTCTCAATTGTAATTTACAAAAATGGGAAGCCATTCTATAGTTTTTCAAGTATAGTTTCGATAATTTATCTTGCCATTGCAAATGGGCTAACAGCAAGTGAAAAAGTGTTACAATTCGTGAATAAAAATCGCGTTTCGAGGCGTCTGGGAGGCGTCTTCTTTCTTATGATCACCGGGCGGCAGACGTCTCAAGGCCTCCAGGTCGTTTACCACCACCTGCGCCCTACCAGCATCGCGATGATCAACATTTCTACCCGGTTCTCGAATTCATTTCCCCTCGCGATCCCTAATCGCGCGTAAATTCCATTCGAGAAAACTCATCGTTCTTACGAAACCTCGAACTGATGGACTCGGTGTCCCCCGGGGCAACGCGAACGCCTAAACGTGTCATAATTCATAAGTACAGTTAACCAAATAGACGAAGTTGAACGAACTCGCGAACCGTGTGAAACTCTTCTCGTGGCACGCAGTCGCCGGTGAAGCTGGGGCTAAAACGATCAAAGGCGAATTAAAATCGCGTTAAGGAACGATTTGAAGCATCTAGACTCTGTAAACAACTTTTTACCATTCGTCGAGGGCGAAGAAAAGGCAGAAATTTATCACAAAAGAGGCTGATGTTTCCGAGACAGAAACGAGGTCGAGAACAGTCTGGGATATAATTAACAAGCGTAATTATTTGCACTCGCGTTTGGAACGTAACGGGTTCGCGATGCTGAAACAGGATACTGAAGCGGATTAGAATTCATGGGAGGATTTTTCCCGCGTCTGGCGGTCGCCATTTGTGGCCTGGTCGGAAGTCAACGGCGGAGACGTGCCTCGGTGAGATAATACACGCCAACGAGAAAAGAATTTTCTTCTTTATTCATCGTGCTTTGTCGAACGTGAGGGACTCGTGACGTTTCAATCGCATTGTAACGGAAGAAGCACCTGTTTTCCAACCCTATGCACAGGTTATTTAAATAAATTCAAACAGCAATAACGCTTGGAACAAATATTTTTTAACACCGGAACGCTATCGACAATTATTTTTTTTTTTTATTATTATTAGTGCAATTTGAATCTCAAGAAAGAATATCGACAATTATATCGTATTTATTCGTACGAAAAAAAAAAAATTAAATAAATGTTGAATGTAAATATTTGGAAATTTGATTAAGTAAATTTTTTACATGCTTCGTTAGAAATGGGTCATTTCGACTGCCTCGACGCGGTTCCAGTGTTAAACTCGATCGTGCTACATCAGACAGAATGCGTCTCACGCGTCGCATAATTGGCGCCGACCAGACACTCTGTAATTTTGCAATTAGTCGAATTCGAATTCATTAAACGACGCAACGTGATGAAACTGTAACTCATACGAGTGGAAGAGGAATTGTACGGGGACTAACCTTGCCAAATTCTGCGTTAATAATATTTAAATAAACTGTGGATGTTTATACATTTATTATAAAAATACGTGAGACACGAATTATTATTGCAATAATGCATTTTAATGAGCAGTGCCCTTTTTGCAAATTTATATAAAATAATACAAAATTTAGAAATATAGTGCAGACATGTAAATAAAAATAAATATTTATTATATAAAAAAATTTTCATAAAGATCCACAGAGTCTATCTATGAACCCTGTATGTCACTGCCCGTGGCCCGTATATGGGTCACATCACCGTGCTATTGGATACGTCGCTGAGAAACCGGACAGTGAACGCGTTGATCAATAAATTGAAGACGTACAAACGTCTCAAAACCGAGATTAAAAATACCAAAGTATCTAGAATATTGTTTGTGAGTGTATTTATAAATAAATGGGGACTTTTCAGCCCAAAGGATCACAACGATCCAGCTGGACGGAGTGCAATACTTCGTGTCGAGGATGAACCCTTACAGCCCTGAACTGAACTACTTCCTGGCCTACCAATACTGTCGCTCCCTGGGCCTCCAGCTGGCCTCGTTCGAGACAAAAGAAAAGGCTGACACGATGACGCAGTACTTGAAGAACGCCGGTTACGTCAAATACGATTTCTGGACATCGGGCAACAAGCTGGGCACGGACATGTTCCTGTGGATGAGCACAGGCCTGCCTTTCAACGCCACCTTCGACTACATGTTGAGGCGACCTGGCAACAGACCCGCGGACGTTCCACCTGGCACGGAACCCCAACGAGTAGCGCGCGAAAGGTAACGAATTCAAGCTATAAAACCCTCTAACGGGCTCCCTCTAATCTCTAAATAACCCTTCACGGTTAAAAATATAAGAAATACTATGTTTAGGGGCTGAGACAACCCCCTACAAAGCTCCCATTTCATTAATTTTACTAACACTAGGCTTACTTTTATTGTAGATTGACAGTTTCATTAAAGTACAATTTTTTTTTGGGTCAGAGTATACATTCATATCATTTGAGGTCAATATAAATTGATAATGAATAATATTTGGGAGTTCTGTAAGGTTTAGAATCTGAATTTGTCAAATTGATGTGTTTTATGAACCTAGTGTTAATTAAAATTTAATGTTCGCTATATAAGACAATTTTCAACCCTCCATATAAGATAATACCATGCAAGTTAGTGGCTTCTCAAGTTCTATTGGACTATAGTGGCAAGAAAACTATGAATTTGCTCAAAGATCCGCAGTTAGTCAATGTTCGCTATATAAGACAATTCTCAAGCCTCCATATAAGATACTACCATATGAATTAGTGGTTTCTCAAGTTCTATTGGACTATAACGTCAATAAAACTATAAATTCACCAAAAGATCCGCAGTTTACTCAATGTTCTCTATATAAGACAACGTTCAACCCTCCATATAAGATACTACCACACAAACTAATGATTTCTCAAGTTGTATTTGACTATAATGTCAATATAAACACAAATTTTCACAAAGATCCACAGTCTACTCAATGTTCGCTATATAAGACAATTCTTAGGCCTCCATATAAGATACTACCATGTAAATTAGTGGTTTCTCAAGTTCTATTGGACTATAGTGTCAAGAAAACTATGAATTTGCACAAAGATCCGCAGTCTACTCAATGTTCGCTATAAGAGAATTCTTTAGCCCTCCATATAAGACACTTTCGTCGTACAAATGACTGATTTCTCATGCAAACTGTGTTCAAATCTCGTGTCGTGCACGCTAAGACAATAACCCGGACATCGATTCATTATCGATACCGATAATTGTCAATGTCCCTTCCCCCGGAAGCGCGTGCACAGACTCGTGAAACGACCGTGTAAGGTGTGATTTAAATTCTGATTGAGAAGTTTTCTGGTTTCCAGCGGCGACAGCGGCAGCGCGGACGGATGCGTGGCGATGGTGGCGCCCACGTTAGCCTGGGAAGCCCAGGACTGCACCCTGGTTAAGGACTTCATCTGCGAGCAAACAAGATGCTACTACTACAATTACGGCAGCATTCCAGTCTCTGCGACTCAGGGGTAAGAGGTGAGATAATACTTGTCACAAAAATACACGAAACTGCAGAGAGAGAGAGAGAGAGAGAAAGAGAGAAAGACAGATAGGACTATCGAAGGATTCTCAACGTGGTTCCTCCAAGGTGAATCTCGATGGCGCACGGACAAAAAAATTTTAAACGGTGGAAACTGATAAGATACGCTCGACAAACACAGATAATCTATCTACGGGAATTTGGGAAGCCTCTCTGCGTACGAACGAAGCTTCTTCGTTCCCGTAAATCATTACGATAATATAAAGTTTTTTTTCTCCGTGCAATTATAATTAAAATATAAAGTAAAATAGATTGGTACTTGGGGAACGTAATTGCTTACTATTCACGAAAATGAATAATACAACGCAGCTTGTAATTAATAACGCCTTCTCTCGCTTCTCGCAAACGTCAGAACAACACATCCACAACTTTGAGAAAATATGAAAACACTTAGTCTCTGGATCTTTCGACACACTACTAACACAGCTAATACACCCCCCCGTTGGACACAATTAACTGTCACACTGTTCTATAAAAAAATCTATTTCTAATAAGAACTTCTGCACAACGAAGGAAACTCTTCCTCGTTTGGAGATCTGTGGGGTCCTCTCATGGTGGCCGCCAGAGGGGCACGCGCTTGACTCTCTCACAAGCGATCGAGTTACGTAAACACGTTCACTGTCCAGACTCTCAACGGCGTATTAAATAGCGTGGCGATGTGACCCATATATGAATCATGGACAGTGAACGTGTTCCCCTTTTCTATTTTACTTCCATAGGACCCCACAGATCCGTGGCTTACAGATCCCCCCTGCTAACTTGCCTGAAAGGTCCCGCAAATTTCCAGGAACCGCAGACCCTACGTAACAACCACCCTGGCGCCAGCCAGCGACGACCAGGTCGACCACGAGGAAACAAAGGACAAGAACGACGAGACGCAGGTGACCATCGACGAGAACGCAACACCGGAAGAGGATAGCACCGTGGACGAGAAGTTACCTGAAGACCCGGTCGTCAGCAGGCTAATTACCACAGCCGTTCCCGCATCTGACAAGCGACAGCAAGCCTTCGCCCCGTCCACGTCCTCGCCAGTCGTCACCGAGGAGGAGCCAGCTAGCGCCGAGTTGGACAACAACAACGCGAGGCCCGACCACCTCCCCGACATCGCGAGCCTCTTCACCGACGGTCCAGCGCCCCAGGCGAGAAAGGAGAACGTGTTCGAGGGTCTGCAGACCCGGGAGGTCCATCGTTCGTCCCTTCGATCCTCCTCCGACATGAAGGTCGAGCACAGAGAGTCTGGCGACTACTTCGAGACCCAATCTGAGACCGAATCACCTAACAACGGGCTCGAGGACGCTCACACGGTCGGGCCGTACGACAGCGTGCAGGATTACTACGCCAACGACCAACCGGAAGCGGCGGAGACGTCGATGATGAAGGACCAGGACGACGACAGCAGCACGAACCTGCCAGAGGCGGAACCGGCCTATAGGTACAACATAAAAGTGCGCACCAACGGCAAAGTATTAGACCCTCCGTCCAAGTAAACGCTTTAAAAACCCTTTAGGCATTATCAATAAGTGAAGCAAACGAGAATTTTCGAGGAACTAGACATGTATCGTGTGTGTATCGTGGTCATCGCGCGAGGAACAGTCGCGACAATCATCGCTCATCGTTCATTCCGATCCAAGGAACCTATCGACATCGAGACTTTTGGAGGCTCCAGAGTCATTGGAAGCCCCCCGATTGATAAAAATCGAATCCCAAGCATTTTGTTAGAAATTGTAAACGGGTCTCCAAAACTATCGACGATCGTTCTCGCAAGGGCATTCTACTCCGTGGCACTGGCGGACATATCGCGCGCTCGTCATCGCAAACTTTTCTATCCTTCGATCGCCTTCCATCGAAGTTAGCTGTTCGCTCTAGGCACTTAGATGATAACACGAACGTGAGAAATGCGTGGGATCTCAGGCATTAAGGTAGAGAGACGAATCAAAGGAGAACTATTATCGTTAATAACATTTTGGTGTAGGGTTGGGGGTCCGTCAGCGCCACTTCATCACCTATTGGAGCAATTCATCTTAGTTAATATTATCCGTACGCCCGCAAGACGAAACGTTTCGCAACGAAAATGGCTTCCAGATCGAAACGTCTCGGTCATCCGGATATACGACGCGTAGTTCGTCATCGCGAAATGGTTCTCTAACTGCTACGATAAGTCACCATGATATTTCAGTATCATTAAAACACGGCGCGAATGTGTAACTTGTGTAATTAAATATTAATAAAGGTACGAATACATTCTTAAAGTACCGAATTCTCTATCTTTTCTCAATTTTCACTCACCAACCGTTCACCACTCCCTCGATGTTCAACATGGGCACGATCTTGAACACGTAATCGTCCCGCAAGCTAGACGCGCAAGGATTGTTGCTCAACAACGCCTCCAAGGTTCCGTGCATCACCCAGGAGGCGTTGCTCTCGCCTGGATGGACCCTCGACGTCAGAAATATCACCTTGCGATTCTAAAAAATAAACATCAGACATCACCAAGTCCTCATCGCTAAAAGATCCACGTGTCAACACGTTCACTGTCCGGTTCCTCAGCGGCGTATCTAATAACACGGTGGTATGACCCACATCCGTGTCACGGACAGTGAACGCGTTAACATTCTTGAGCAACTAGCAATCAGGTTTCCTACATCCTTTTACAACTTCTGGAGGTCTCCTAGCTGTCCATCGACCTCCAGACTCACCTCGATAGGATTGCTCTTCGAGTCCAAAGACGTGACGGTTAAAAGGGGATTCTCGTTTCCGTTGAGAGTCTCGCAAAGAGTCTCAGCGCGGAAGTAGGTGTTCGCCGGGACCCTCTTGGTCCACTTCCAAATGTTGCTCATCAGCTGGCTGTACGTGTACGGGAAGTGGTACGCCAGGTAGCAGACGTCGTACGAGTGGGGGAATATCACCGTGAACGATGTGGTGAAGTAGTTCTTCCCCTTTGTAGGTCGTTGATAGCAATTTCTGTAGTAACAAATGTCGGCGCCGGTCCTGACCCAGCCTGGTCTGCCCAGCTGAGCCTCCGCCACGCTGAACAGCATCGGTTTCATCCCGAAATTGAACTGCGAGTTCGCTTTCTCGCAGTTGATGATGTTGAACGTGTACGTCAGGCTCTTCTCCATGTTCGAGACCTCGAAGTAGAACCACTGGTGCCTGGAGCCGCTGTTCACGTCCGGCGTCAGGATCAGGTCGTACTCTCTCAAGCCTATCTGCGAGGAAGTATGCTCTTTTATTCGATCGCTAAATCTCTATCTCAGAATTCTACCTGAATGGCTTTCCTCAAGTTGCCGCTCTCGAACCTGGACTCAAAGTGCAAGTACTTGGAGTCTCCGCAGCGTTTGCCTACTCTGCTCTCGTCCCTGTTGCAGAGACCACTGTCGTTGAAGATTCGGCCATTGACAGAGTCGTTGAAGGCCACAGCGTCGAGATCGTACACCACCTCTTGCAGCAACGTGCCGCCATGAAGACCTCGCTCCACGCAGGTGAGGAGCTTGGACCTACAGACCCACCTGTCCTTGTTGTTCAGCGGTTCCTCGGTGCAGAGACCATCGCCACCCACCAGATCCGGGTAAGCGACCTTCACGAAGCTGATGACGCTTTTGACTCTGCTGGCCACCACGCAATAGGCTTGCTGGTCCGTTAAACTCGAGGACATGTCCTCGAATACTTTGATCGGTCCACTCCCCGTCTGACTCTTCCCGTTTACGAACGGTTTCCCATTTTTTATGCAACGCGAGTTCAACTTGTCCTCCTCCGCAGGGTCAACAGGATCCATCAGCTTCTCCATGGAAAATTTCGAGAAGTAGACTTGGGACTGCAGATTGCCCAGTTCCTTGAAGAAGACATTGTACCTAGAAAATGGAGGAGTCAGAAGATCTATCAAGAGACAAGGTAGTAGAGCATAGTTTGCGTACTCGTTGAGATCCTCCTCGGATCTCTGGGACGTGAAAACGCCAGCGAAGAATTTGCTCTCGTCCACCTCGTCCACCGCGTGGACGGCGGTGTCGTTCGACCTTGAATTTTGGCTTTCCTCGTCATCTCCGGAATCAAGGTCGCTGTACAGCCTCCCGAGCGACGCCACGCTGTTCGCCTGAGCAAACATCGATATGCAAATGCCTGTAGCTTTCTAATCCAACGCGTTCGTGATGGCAAAAGAGCGTGTTTTATGGCCACGCGACGCGTATTGAAGCGTTACGTCCCGCGCGTTACATCATTCCGACGAAAATACGCACCTGGCTGTCGATGTCGCTACCGCTTTCGGCGCTGTTAGGTCTGATGTTCACCTCCGGTAACACAAATCTACAATTCAATAAGCATTCGTCATTCTTTGACTCAACAATTCAATCTTAAGTGATACGATGGGTGACTTTAATCAGTGGACACAGCATTTGAGGTGTTTAAGTCGAAGTTAAATCGATTTTAAACGACCTTGGAGGTTTCGTTCACCTTGCAGGGGACATTTCAGGAACCGGGAGCTCCTTCTTCTCCAGACACTGATTGATTATCCCGCATATGCGCGACAGGAGGCCATCGTACGCCTTATCCTCGGGACAGTTGCTGCAGAACCGGTACAGTACTTGCAGTCCATTGTTCGTCTTTATAGCCTTTCTTCCAGCCTCTGAAACGGACAAAAGGCTATTTGTAATGGCTATGTAGACAGTAACTGAACTACAAAAGTATTTTAATTCCTAAACTGACTTATAATGCAGAGGTGCTGTAGAGTGATGAGAGCACTGTTGCAGATCTTCAGCCTCATCTGACCGTCGAATCGCTCCCATCTCTCAAATATCTTCATCAGAAGATGCACCATACCCACTTTTACGAATTTCGTGCAGCAGAATTCTGTAACGAAGAACATTTCATGGATCAATTAACCTGTTAATTGACTCTTAAGTAGTAATATACGTACTGCTTGTTGTTAAATATTTGAAGCACTCCAAGAGGAACCTGAGCTTCAGGTGGGGAGTGTAACCAACGGAGACGAACGTTTTCTCCAACGTGCTGGCTATCCCGTCCTTCACCAATGCTTGCAGAGAGTATGCTAACCAATATAACGTAAGAAATTAATAAAAAATTATAAAACTGATGTTTATACTCACAGTTTCTAGCAAGACACTTCATGATGATCAACAATGACAACAACGTCTTGCTGTTGTTGTAATGCTGCTTGAGGAGCATGTGGAACACTTTAATGGCGTTAAGCAGTTTCATTTTTATGGCGAACCTCTGGTCCCTCTGGGCCACCTGTAATTTTTGTTACAAAATCTCTAATCTGATATACAATAAAAATTGCAAATCTTACTTGGCCTAAAATCCAAAGCACTTCCTGCGTGAGGACCTCGCTGGAAATGGTGTCAGCGTGTTGCAGGTTGATCAGAAGCTTGAGCAGAACTTGGGTGATGCCTAAATTGATCAGCTGCATCACCGCCATCCGGCTGCTGGACTCTGCGATCGATAAGAAATCTGTGAATTACATCGACTGGAGAATACTTGGAAACTACGTTATTACTTGTGGCACTTTTGTTCTTGTTCCCTTTGGACTTGGCTCTGGTGTAGCTGGGCGATATACACTTATGGATTATGCAGGCGATGCTATAGTTGACCACGTGATCCTTGCAGTTCTGTAACGAGAAAACAAATTTGATCAGAGTGAAACAGCGACGATTTCGATGGAAACGCCGGGTAATTATTCCGGGGGCTCTGCGTGCGTGCAACACTTATCAGAAAATGGAACGAACGGATTTCCAGCTCTGTCGACGAGATAGAACCCGGAGGTCCTCGTTGATGCGACCTAACCACGCCATTCCGTGCAAACAATTTCGTGACGCGGTTAACCGCGCCTAATTAGGTTCGCGGGAGTGTCGATTAGGTCTAGAATTCAAAAAACTACTGGAAAATCCTTTGATACCTCCAGCGTGGCGATGAAGATCTCCATGGCCCCTGAATTCTTGCGCCATAATTTCTCCAACGTGCGTTCGCGTATTCGTCTATCTGAAATCATTGTAAATATAGTTTCTAACTGTGAAAGAGAGGTCTAAGCGGAGGAGGGAATTTGTAGGAACGAAGTGCATAGATTGCTATTTATTCAATGCGGTGGAACAAGATGTAAGTGTTCGAAGGAGCAATGTAGCGTTGCCAAACCCGTCTTAGCCCGTCTCTGTCGCGATAAATAATGGGACGAACAGGTGCGAGTAACAATGCCTTCCATGCGATACCAGGCGTACCGCGGATTGGCGAAATGCACGGCTCCCGTTTCAGATTTGTCACAAGGCCAATCGTGCTCAATGCCATGAACACTATCCGCGAAAACACTGGACAGTGATATGTCATGCCAAAAGAGACGCCAAAGCAAAGATACGTATCGCCTCCGGTGACGATTCTTAAAATAGCTTTAAAAATTGTGGTACTTTCTCAAAATTCGATATATTCGATCATGATAGAATAGAAAACATACATTATTTAGAAGTAAATCTATTATTTTGAAGGGTCTATTAGTGGAGAAATGAGACATTTTCTAGAAAGAACCAAGATGGCGGCGTGCAGAGCTCGAGTAGTCAAACAAATCATCAGTTGCCACTTTTGACGCCTTTCAAAACACTCCATTTTGTAAAAATCGCATTGCTTTTTCAAGATTCGATATCCTCCATCATGATAGAACAAAGAACATAGATTATTTAGAAAAAAATCTATTATTTGAAGGGTCTATTAGTGGAAAAATGAGACTTTTCTAGAAAGAACCAAGATGGCGGCGTGCTCGAGAAGCCAAACAAATCATCAGTTGCCACATTTGAGGCCTCTCAAAATACTCCATTTTGTAAAAATCGCGTTGCTTTCTCAAGATTCGATATCCTCCATCATGATAGAAGAAAGAACACACATTATTTACAAAAAAATCTATTATTTCGAAGGCCTATTAGTGGAGAAATGAGACTTTTCTAGAAAGAACCAAGATAGCGGCGTGCTCGAGTAGCCAAACAAGTCAGTTGCCACTTTTGACGCCTCTCAAAATACTCCATTTTGTAAAAATCGCGTTGCTTTCTCAAGATTCGATATCCTCCATCATGATAGAAGAAAGAACACACATTATTTACAAAAAAATCTATTATTTCGAAGGCCTATTAGTGGAGAAATGAGACTTTTCTAGAAAGAACCAAGATAGCGGCGTGCTCGAGTAGCCAAACAAGTCAGTTGCCACTTTTGACGCCTCTCAAAATACTCCATTTTGTAAAAATCGCGTTGCTTTCTCAAGATTCGATATCCTCCATCATGATAGAAGAAAGAACACACATTATTTACAAAAAAATCTATTATTTTGAAGGCCTATTAGTGGAGAAATGAGACTTTTCTAGAAAGAACCAAGATAGCGGCGTGCTCGAGTAGCCAAACAAGTCAGTTGCCACTTTTGACGCCTCTCAAAATACTCCATTTTGTAAAAATCGCGTTGCTTTCTCAAGATTCGATATCCTCCATCATGATAGAACAGAGAACATACATTATTTACAAGAAAATCTATTATTTTCGGTGCCTATTAGTGAGAAATGACACCTTTTCTAGAAAGAACCAAGATGGCGGCGTGCAGAGCTCGAGTGGCCAAACAAATCCATCACTTGCCACTTTTGACGCCCCTCAAAATACTCAATTTTGTAAAAATCGCGTTGCTTTCTCAAGATTCGATATCCTCCATCATGATAGAACAAAAAACACACATTATTTAAAAGAAAATCTATTATTTTGCGTATCTATTAGCGAGAAATGTCACCTTTTCTAGAAAGAACCAAGATGGCGGCGTGCATAAGAGCTCGAGTGGCGTACGGATTTGGTTAGAAACGATGACTCAGAGCAAAGACACTCTGTCCACAGGGACTTTCGGGTACGCAGAAGGATCGACCAAGAGGATAGAAAGTCCTTATCAATTTGGCACGACCGCAATTCAACGAGACGATCGAACGCCGGTATTGTTCGCGTTTGCAATGGCTTGGACGATGCCCAAACGATCTATCAGCATTACCAAAAGTCCTTATGTAACCGGGATAGCCGGCTTTTCGAAAATAACGAATGACGCCTAGCGGGCTCCACGATTCGCACACCTGTTCGTCACTCTCAAGCACTCCTATGATAAACGGTCGTCGATCGAGACTGACATAAATAAATCCTCGCCTGAATTTACGGCCCTACTAAAATGCAGTTTCGATTATATATTGCATTTCGATGCTCTCGCAGCTTGCAAAATAACGCCTCCCGAGGAATCTACACGTCGTTTTCTTTTTCTTTTCTAAACAAAACCGAGTGAAATGGATTTCGTAAGGCCGTCCAGAACGAGTTCTGTTGGAAAGTGACCCGAATTTAAATTTCTCTGCTTTCCGTGCAGTCGAAAATACCGTGTCTTTTGCAGAGTTCGTGCAGACGTAAATTGGTCGCCGCTGCGACGCGAAAAAGAATCGCAGTCGGTGTTCGGGGAACGGAAACACGTCGAGTATTAAATTGTGCAAGTTGCTGGTGATTAGACCGATGAAATGGAAGCCAACGTTCGCGATAAAAATAGCAATTTAACGGCACGAGCTCGTCTCACGAGTGTCTGATCCGTTCCGACGTGGAACTTCCACGTTCGAAGTTCCGAACAGAAATGATACGATGCTCTCTGTGGATTGGAAGTGGTAAAGAAAGAGGCGTAAAACCGATTACCTGAGGACGTGACACGCGCATGAATCTTGGCAGCGATGTTTCTAAACGTATCCCCGGCCTCCTGCGGCTTGGACGCGCAACTCCTGAGCTTCTCCAACAACGCATCGTTTATAGCCTCGTCCGCGGTTTTGTTGCTTGGTGGCATCGCACTAAACCGCAAACCGAACAATGAAAGCTCAATTATCGGTCACGGTAAGCCGGTCAAGAACATGATTGTTAAGCATCGCGCGACAAACAGCACACAGTGGTCGAAGCAAGACTACCAAAAAGCTAGGCAAAAAGGCTCAAAGCTGACACTCGATTTTTACAGCTAAAAAATCCCTTTCGATCGTTTTAAACCACGTAGACGCTATCGAGACTGTTCACAGTAGGTGATGTATACAGAAATTTTGAGATATTAAGAGGACCAACAAAATAGGAGCAAATAAACAGAAATCCATCGTCGTGTACTTAACCAAAGCGCAGCTAGCTGATGGTTTCTCGCCTATGAAATCCTTCCTATTTGCGATAGAGGAGACGATCATTACGGATTGCACTGACCAAAGAAATTTAATCGACTATCCTTTGGCGGCGCGCCAATTCGAACGTTAATACGCGTTAATCACTTTTCGCGGTCGGTTTGGACACGGTTTGCCAATGTCAGGGAAATGAATACCAAACGTTTGGAGAACGCGTCATCAAGGTTAATTAACGTCGAACAAGCTCAGAAATAAACGAATGATCGCCGAAAAATGCAGCAGCCAGCGTTCGATATTATTAATTAGCGTATTATTCTTCGACGAGGATCCACGATATCTTCCAATGGCCTCCTTTTTAATGACTGATTCCATATTCAAAATTGCAGAACGCGTAAATAGTATTTTTTAACAACTTATGTTGAATTTGATCGATGCAATGTCAAGAATAAAAAAAAAAAAATTCTAATTGAAAGAAAAATCGTATTTTAAGGTAATTGTGTCAACATGAAAGGTATCAATAAATATACGTTAATCGAGTATTATACACAGCATAATTGAATTAAATATGACTAAAGATATCGTGGAATCTTATTTTTTTTAAAAATGCAGGTAATATTGCGATATTCAAATTGAATAAAATTTTGTAATCGATTACCCGCATTTAAAAAAATTCTGATTTGCGTCCACGTTCGAGGAACCACATTGTAGAGCAAAACACGCGAGATTTATTGGCTATGAGTTACTATAAGCGATAATAAAATTACGGTTTCTAATAACTGCACATTTTGGCTGGTGTCGTGTCGCGTTTTGTGCCAACGTGGATTTTGCAATTATCTTCACGACCGGGCCAAACGAAACATTATCTTTAAAACATTGTTTTTCGAGTAATTATTATAGGGAGGATTTATTCAAACGTATTCTACACTTTGCAATTAACAGAATTTCATTATCTGTTTTTGTAAATAAAAAAAAATTTTAATATGATGGTAAGTGTTTAAATTTAATTGTTAGTTATTTTATTGTAGATTAAATATTATATCTAGTGGTTTAATTTTCAGCAAAACTGAATGATAACAACAACTAGGAGATTTAAATTAAGATTCTTTTATAAATCAAAGAAAGATTAAATTTAAATATGATGTCAATATTTTAATTTAATTGTTGGTTATTTTATCATAGATTAAATATTATATCAAGTAGTTTAATTTTCAGCAACTATATGATAGTAATTAGGAGATTTAAATCAAGATATTTCTATGAATAAAAAAAAATTAAATTTAAATTTAATTGTTAGTTATTTTATCGTAGATTAAATATTATATCCAGTCAATTTTCAGCAAAACTGAATGATAACAACAACTAGGAGATTTAAATTAAGATTCTTTTATAAATCAAAGAAAGATTAAATTTAAATATGATGTCAATATTATTAATTTAATTGTTGGTTATTTTACTATAAATTAAATATTATATCCAGTCAATTTTCAACAAAACTGAATGATAACAACAACTAGGTGATTTAAATTAAGATTCTTTTATAAATCAAAAAAAGATTAAATTTAAATATGATGTCAATATTTTAATTTAATTGTTAGTTATATTACTGTAAATTAAATATTATATTAAGTTGATTTTCAGCAAAACTGAATGATAGCAATAATTAGGAAATTTAAATCAAGATATTTCTATGAATAAAAAAAGATAAAATTTAAATTTTATCGTCCGTTATTTTAACGTAAATTAAATATTAAATCAAGTTCATTTTCAGCAGTACTAAATGACAACAATAATTACGAGATTTTAATTAATTTCATAGTGTAGAATATGCTTGTGTTATGACAAACTCACCCCCCAATGCTTTGGTACTTTCAACAGTCATTTAATAATCTCTCTAACGAATTAAAATCATGTATATTGTAAAATGTGCGATCAAAAGAAGCGTGCAAACGGCTCCATAATGTGCGTTCTGAACGGGGACTGGAAACCTGATGCAGACGAGTACACGCATGAAACGCGGAGACGATTCTTTATGCAATTGGCGCGATTTTTTACTCTTCGTCCTGTGTGTCCAGCGCGTTTTCGTCGTCCGTAAACTGACCCTCCATCGGTCGTTGGTTCTCTTTGTCGTGCTTCTCCGACGCACTTATCATGTCCATTCAACTCTGTCCTTTCCACAATAAAAACAAATAAAAAACTCACAAAAATCGTTGAGACCCAAAAGGAGCACAAATTTCCATCGCGTCGGAGCAAAAAAGGAAGGAAGGAAGAAAACAAAAGGATTCGATTACTTTCTCGCTGACCTTCTCTGCGACTATTACGTCGAAACGATCCACGATCGATCACGCGATAGATCACGTACGACCCATTCTCCGGGTCTCACCGGGATCACCGAATGGAACAGCGACGATCGAGGAAACTTTTCCGTGAAATTCGCAGAACGATCCACGCACTTTGCCACTCCGAGGCGGTTTGACGTTTCGCGCTGCCAAAACTATGTTTAAAAGCATAGCACGCACGCACGAGGCGCCTCTATTTATAGTGACGGCCGCTTTCCGAAAACCGCGCCCCTTTTCTCATATTTTTTTTACAACTGGACCACCCCCCACCCTCGATCTGAACCCCCGAAAATTAATTCGAACATCGTCGAACGCGAGAATCGCGTTAATAGTCTCGTTCTCTCGTATTCGATTTATGTTTGTACAGAACACACGTTGAGAAAAGTGTCTCGAAGGGAGAGACTCGGTGTCTGATCGAAACGATCGCGGATCGTGGGATCCGTGGATCTATTTAAAAACAGACGGGGTCTCGATTCGTGCTAAAAGTTCGCTAAATAAGACGGGAGATGATGGAATCGACGACTGGGTTGCCAAAAGATCACCCAAAACGCTCGTTAGTTTCCCGAAAATCTTGTCAACAACAGATGACTGCGACTGCGACGTGTGAAATATTTGCGACCAGAGAATTCCAAAAACCTCAAACGACTAAAAATACACTCGGCGTTCCTTGCAACGTATAGAATGAAAATGATCGTTTTAAAAAACGTAGAAGAGATTCGTTCAAGGGATGAAACTCTCAGCCTCGATTCTTCGAAGCGTTTGGTGATCGTCTCAGGGCTTTTAGGAGGCTCTTAAAACCACCGAATCGTGATTGAAATCGACGTGAAATGACAGCGAGGCGTAATCGAAACGAGGAAGAGGAAGGGTGAGAAAGTCGATGGGAACAACACACTGGTTAAACGCGACACGATGATGGAGCAAGGACGAGTCTTAACCTCGTTGCAAGCCGCGATGCACAAATGCACCAGCACTCCCGACGAAACAACACCCGTCACGGAAGGGTGTCGCGTATCAGGTGTATGCGGCACTTGTTGATAAACACGAAACCTCCCGCGGATTGATTAGTAGCCGTGCGAATTTACACGAGCACAGTCGACGCCTCACGAGCTCCAAAGGCTATCGATTCCTCAAACGGCGCTCCGTTTCAAACTCTCACGTGCCCAAAAATTCTTTTATAATAGCTCTTTTTATTGCTCTATGGACCACCAATTAATAGAGATCTTAAACGCATTTTAGAAGCTGTAAAAAAAAAAAAATAGATAAATGATGAGAGTTGAAGTTGGGAAGTATTATTTATCTGCAAGACTCTCATTCATACTTTGATCAGTTGAAAATCCTTTAATATCATCTCTTTTTATTCCTCTAGCAACCACCAATTGCAACAGATTTGAAAAACATTCTAAAATCTCTAAAAAAAAAATAAATTAATGAAGAGTCAAACTTTGGAATTATTATTTATCTTCAACACTTTCATTCATACTTTAACCAATCTTGAAAATCCATGTATACAAATTCTTTTTATTTGTCCAACAACCACCAATTGCAACAGATTTGAAACACCACTGGAAATCTCTAAAAAAAAATAAATAAATGAATAAAGAGTCAAACTTTGGAAGTATTATTTATCTGCAAGGCTGTTATTTGTATTCGTGCTTTAATAAGCCTGAAAATCCTTCCATACAAACTTCTTTTATTCCTCCAACAACCACCAATTGCAACAGATTTGAAGCACCACTGGAAAACTCTGAAAAAAGAATAAATAAAGAGTCAAACTTTGGAAGTATTATTTATTTGCAAGGCTCTTATTCGTATTCATGCTTGAATAAGCCTGAAAATCCTTCCATATAAACTTTGTTTATTCCTCTAGCAACCACCAATTGCAACAGATTTGAAACACATTCTAAAATCTCTAAAAAAAAAATAAATAAATGTAGAGTCAAACTTTGGAAGTATTATTTATCTTCAACACTTTCATTCATACTTTAAACAATCTTGAAAATCCATGTATACAAATTCTTTTTATTTCTCCAACAACCACCAATTGCAACAGATTTGAAACACCACTGGAAATCTCTAAAAAAAAATAAATAAATGAATAAAGAGTCAAACTTTGGAAGTATTATTTATCTGCAAGGGTGTTATTTGTATTCATGCTTTAATAAGCCTGAAAATCCTTCCATACAAACTTCTTTTATTCCTCCAACAACCACCAATTGCAACAGATTTGAAACACCACTGAAAAACTCTGAAAAAAGAATAAATAAAGAGTCAAACTTTGGAAGTATTATTTATTTGCAAGGCTCTTATTCGTCTTCATGCTTTAATAAGCCTGAAAATCCTTCCATATAAACTTTGTTTATTCCTCTAGCAACCACCAATTGCAACAGATTTGAAACACATTCTAAAATCACTAAAAAAAAAATAAATAAATGTAGAGTCAAACTTTGGAAGTATTATTTATCTTCAACACTTTCATTCATACTTTAAACAATCTTGAAAATCCATGTATACAAATTCTTTTTATTTCTCCAACAACCACCAATTGCAACAGATTTGAAACACCACTGGAAATCTCTAAAAAAAAATAAATAAATGAATAAAGAGTCAAACTTTGGAAGTATTATTTATCTGCAAGGGTGTTATTTGTATTCATGCTTTAATAAGCCTGAAAATCCTTCCATACAAACTTCTTTTATTCCTCCAACAACCACCAATTGCAACAGATTTGAAACACCACTGGAAAACTCTGAAAAAAGAATAAATAAAGAGTCAAACTTTGAAAGTATTATTTATTTGCAAGGCTCTTATTCGTCTTCATGCTTTAATAAGCCTGAAAATCCTTGCATATAAACTTTGTTTATTCCTCTAGCAACCACCAATTGCAACAGATTTGAAACACATTCTAAAATCACTAAAAAAAAAATAAATAAATGTAGAGTCAAACTTTGGAAGTATTATTTATCTTCAACACTTTCATTCATACTTTAACCAGTCTCGAAAATCCATGTATACAAATTCTTTTTATTTCTCCAACAACCACCAATTACAACAGATTTGAAACACCACTGGAAATCTCTAAAAAAAAATAAATAAATGAATAAAGAGTCAAACTTTGGAAGTATTATTTATCTGCAAGGCTGTTATTTGTATTCATGCTATAATAAGCCTGAAAATCCTTCCACACAAACTTCTTTTATTCCTCCAACAACCACCAATTGCAACAGATTTGAAACACCACTGGAAAACTCTGAAAAAAGAATAAATAAAGAGTCAAACTTTGGAAGTATTATTTATTTGCAAGGCTCTTATTCGTATTCATGCTTTAATAAGCCTGAAAATCCTTCCATATAAACTTTGTTTATTCCTCTAGCAACCACCAATTGCAACAGATTTGAAACACATTCTAAAATCTCTAAAAAAAAAATAAATAAATGTAGAGTCAAACTTTGGAAGTATTATTTATCTTCAACACTTTCATTCATACTTTAACCAGTCTCGAAAATCCATGTATACAAATTCTTTTTATTTCTCCAACAACCACCAATTGCAACAGATTTGAAACACCACTGGAAATCTTTAAAATAAAATAAATAAATGAATAAAGAGTCAAACTTTGGAAGTATTATTTATCTGCAAGGCTGTTATTTGTATTCAAGCTATAATAAGCCTGAAAACCCTTCCATACAAACTTCTTTTATTCCTCCAACAATCTCCAATTGCAACAGATTTGAAACACCACTGAAAAACTCTGAAAAAAGAATAAATAAAGAGTCAAACTTTGGAAGTATTATTTATTTGCAAGGCTCTTATTCGTCTTCATGCTTTAATAAGCCTGAAAATCCTTCCATATAAACTTTGTTTATTCCTCTAGCAACCACCAATTGCAACAGATTTGAAACACATTCTAAAATCACTAAAAAAAAAATAAATAAATGTAGAGTCAAACTTTGGAAGTATTATTTATCTTCAACACTTTCATTCATACTTTAAACAATCTTGAAAATCCATGTATACAAATTCTTTTTATTTCTCCAACAACCACCAATTGCAACAGATTTGAAACACCACTGGAAATCTCTAAAAAAAAATAAATAAATGAATAAAGAGTCAAACTTTGGAAGTATTATTTATCTGCAAGGGTGTTATTTGTATTCATGCTTTAATAAGCCTGAAAATCCTTCCATACAAACTTCTTTTATTCCTCCAACAACCACCAATTGCAACAGATTTGAAACACCACTGGAAAACTCTGAAAAAAGAATAAATAAAGAGTCAAACTTTGAAAGTATTATTTATTTGCAAGGCTCTTATTCGTCTTCATGCTTTAATAAGCCTGAAAATCCTTGCATATAAACTTTGTTTATTCCTCTAGCAACCACCAATTGCAACAGATTTGAAACACATTCTAAAATCACTAAAAAAAAACAAATAAATGTAGAGTCAAACTTTGGAAGTATTATTTATCTTCAACACTTTCATTCATACTTCAACCAATCTTGAAAATCCATGTATACAAATTCTTTTTATTTCTCCAACAACTACCAATTGCAACAGATTTGAAACACCATTGAAAATCTCTAAAAAAAAAAAGTAAATAGAGTCAAACTTTGAAAATATTTATTATTTATCCACAACACTCTCATCCACACCCAGTCGAATCTCCTTTGACAATCTCTAATTGCAAAGACTTGAAACGCCACTGAAAATCTCTAAAAAAAAAAAAGAAATAAAGAACTTTGCTTATCCGTGGTCCAGATATAGTAGAACTAGTCGAATGAGTTCTTTTCTAAAAGAAAGTTACCAGTTCCGTTTACTAAACGTCTGCCTCGAGGCTGGAACAATAACGTCTCGATGAGAAAATAAATGTAGACAATTTGGAGCATCAGATACCGCTGGTAGAGTTTTCAAGTAATTTAATTCGATCGTGAACGGATTTTTACGAGGATAATACGTACCCTGGAACATCAACAGAACATCCGTTCCAATCATTCATCTTCCTTTGACTGTCAACGCCGCTTCGTGCCTTCTGGTTTTACCGCCGGAAGTTGCCTTTTGCATTTTCATCCGAGCAACCTTGTAAACCACATTTCGGAGGCCATGGCGAAGTCACTGCAAAATCTCATTTTACCAATTCTATAAAATACTAATTAATTAGACTCTTACCAACTCCACAATTTTCCCAAGGATTTTCTTATCCACGAAACGAAGGTTACTTTCTAGAAAACGTCAGAAATCCTCTTGAAGTCAACCTCGAGTCCAATGACCCCTCTGACAGATAACCAAACAGATTTAAAAGGTCCTTTCGAGCACAGTGTCTTTAACATTAAAACCAAAATAGTAAAAATGGCTCGTAATTTTGTAACAAAAATTACCAAAAATTTACTCGACTCGAGTTTTTGAAAATTCCAGTTTTTATGAGAGAATGAATATATTTATTTCCGATTATATCGTTTTAATTTCTTAGTTCTAGTGTTAATTATTGAAAGACTTGGACGGGACCAAAATGGCGCGAGATTTAGAACGCACCTAGATCAGTGATGATCTATCAAAAGAGGCGCCAAGCCTCGAGGAATAGAAATTTGGCCACACCCTTCATTTATATTCCAAAAGATTCATCATCAATACATCTAGTTCTCGAAACATATTTATAAAATCCCCCAAAAATTTTAAGAAACAATACTTAAAAAATAAATCGTACAATTCTCGAAATGATTATTTATTTATAAATAACACCTCTCGATCCATAAATTTTCGAGGCTCGACGAGAGCACGTATGGTAATTTGGCCCGCGGAATGGCGCGTCAGGATTTCCACGATGCTAAATTGGGCCGAGATTTGTGTCGAATCATCTCGAGATCTGGTTCCAAGAGGATCTATAACGCGATGTTCGATGTTGATTCGAGTTCGAATCTGGTAGAGGTAAACGTCTCGCCATGTGTCGTGTATGGGAAAAGAATCACGGAGCAGGTATCCCGTTGATCGTGCAGGATGATCGGAGATGTAAGCGACAGAGAAGCTAAGCGCGGGAGAAAAGGAGAAAAAAAAAATAACGATCGCGTATGATATTTGGCGAGGTGGGGGACTCACTGTCCAAGGAATATATAAATCGCGAGTAGGGCTGAAATTCAGGTTAGTGCAGATAGTTTTCTGAGCCTGCCGCGAAGCTGTGATCGCGCACCATGCAGGTAAGTGAAACTAAATCAATTTGGAAAGAAACTATTTCTTTAAAGCGAGTTTTGAAAATTGATATGTGGAGAAAATTATTTTCTCAGTTCTTCGAAAAATACGCGCCGTGGTTTTTATAAATAATTCTCGTGGGGGGCACGAAACACAACTGTTTCCGCGTTGCTCGCGATTCAGGATCGTTCGTATGCGGATCACAGAGACGCTGAAAGACGTATCAAAAGTGTGATTCCCTATTCCACGCAGGGAACGGTCAATTTCTAACAACCGCATTGTTTCTCGTGTCATCTCGAGCGAAAGAATATACTCGAATTCGAGGAGAGCGTTTTAAGTTCTGAGAATAGAATCCTTTTTATTGGAATAGCTAACGGAACACGCTTTGTATTGCGATCACGAGTATCGGAGAGTCTTGAGTCTTGGATTTTGTTATTAGGACGCTATGTTGTGGCTCTTGAAATCTTCTAAGCTGCAATTCGATTGTTCGATCGAGATCTTTGCGTGGGTGGGCACTGGAATCCTGCATGGGATCGCTGTAAAATTTTGAATGAGGTTAATGAAAGATATTTTGAAATGGAGGTTAGAAAAATGTGGTAAAAAAATTGATACGTATATGTATGGTACCACTTATTATATATAATCTTGATAAATGAAAATTAAAATTTGATTTATTGCTCATAACAAGTTACCTGTTTGTTATTTTATATTTTTTTCTCGAAAGTGAGTAGGATTTCGGGGTATGTATATTCACCAAAAATGATTGTAATTGATCCCTGGAACTAAAAATAATTTTTTTAGAAACATTTAAAATTTTTTAATTTTGTCGAATTTTTCCTCTATTCGAATTTTTTACTCGAAAGTGAGTAGGATTTCGGGGGTATGTCTGTTCACCAAAAATGATTGTAATTAACCCCCTTACCTAAAAATAATTTTTCTAGAATGATTTGAAACTTTTCAATTTCGTCGAAAAATTTGCCCCCTACTCGAATTTTTTTCTCGAATGTGGGTAGGATTTCAGGGGTATGTCTATCGACCAAAAATAATTATAATTGACCTGTGTAACTAAATATAATTTTTTTAATATGATTTGAAATTTTTTAATTTCGTCTAAAAATTTCACATCTTCTTGAATTTTTTTCTCGAAAGTGGGTAGGATTTCGGGGATATGTCTATTCACCAAAAATGCTTGTAATTGACCCCTGTAACTAAATACAATTTTTTTAGTATGATTTGAAATTTTTTAATTTCGACTAAAAATTTCACATCTTCTCGAATTTTTTTCTCGAACATGGGTTGGATTTCAGGGGTATGTCTATTGACCAAAAATGATTATAATTGACCCCTGTAATTAAATACAATTTTTTAAATCTGATTTGAAATTTTTTAATTTCGTCTAAAAATTTCACATCTTCTCGAATTTTTTTCTCGAAAGTGGGTAGGATTTTGAGGTAATGTCTATTCACCAAAAACAATTCTAATTAACCCCCACACTCAAAAATAATTTTTCTAGAACCCTTTGAAATTGTTTATTTTCGCCAAAAAAAATTTAGAAAATTTCGTTTTTGATTTTTAATAAACACAACCGTGGATACTGTAGTTTTATTTATTAGTAAAAAATAAAATTCCTATGCTTCCAGATAATATAAATTCTACTGTATACACTACCATTCATCATACATAATCGTAATAAATCAGAATTAAACTCTGATTTATCCCAACCACTACCTGTTTCTTATTGATCATACTATTCCAGGTCTGTACGCTGCTTGCAATCGCTGTGATCCTGGTCGCGTCGACGGAGTCGAAGCCAACGTGGCACGATTTGTACCTCAGCAATTACCAATACCCCTCGACGGCCATAAACGTGCAGCCTCATCTTCTCCACTACCAGGACACCTACTCCCCATATTACGTCTACAATGTAACAAAACAATTAACGAAACATTCTACTCTTTATTCCCTGATCTACATCACCTTTTTAAACTCGTTACAGGGTCACACTCAGGACGTAAACGCGATTCCAACGACTCTCGTCGCTAGTCATAAGCCAACAGTCCCACATCTGCCTGCCTACAGCTTCTATTATGGCACTCCCGTTTACGATCTTCGAGTTCCATTGGGCCCGGTAATATAGTCCACCAATTCACAAAAAAAAAAAAAAAAAAACCTTCCACGACAGAATTCTAGTTCCTCTTTTCTAAGACTAATTTAAAAAAAACAAAATTAATTCCAAATTGAGGACAAAACTGCAAGTAATCCATATCTACAATAGATAAGTTAGTATTACAGTCAGATTGAACTTTGATCTCCCATTGTATAAGCATATAAATCTTCTCTTAATCTTCCCTGGCCCCAATTTCGGTATAATGGCTAAACAACCATCTACAGTCACTTTTAATAATCGTAATTTAATATTTAATTAATATAATTTTTAATAATTATTATTCCCTCAGCTTTATCCAGCGTTAAAACCGTCCAAACCGTGCTCAGATCCCAAACCACCCACGAGCACCACGGAAACGACCGAAATGAAGGACGACGGTGTGGAAAAGTTGGACACGAAGATCGAATCTGAAAAGAAAATGAAGAAACCGAGCGACACCAAGGACAACGACGACGACGATAGCATCACCGTCGAGTCGATATAAAAAACGATAAAAACCACATTTTAAGTGAATTAATTTGAATGAAATAACGACTGTTTCCCTGTTGCTTACCTTCCAAAAAATGTGAAATAAAAATAAACTCGAGAATATTATTTACTTGTGATTTTTTATTTAATAAAATACTTATTATTAATTTAAAATTTTCTAGTATTTAAAAATACCTTTTCATTGTAATAGTGATTAGAAAAGTAAAAAGTAGAATACAGTAGTAAGGAGGTCACTGCGGAAAGAATAGATAAACCGGAGGTCAAAGGTGAATTAACTCCGGTCGTTCACTCGATCGCAAATCGTTCGCGTCGATCGATGGGAAGACACGAGGTAATTGTAATGGGAGGAAATCTTTGGTTCGTCGGTGTTTTCGCGACGTTTGCGTTGTTTATAACAATAGAAACGACCTCGAGTGATTTGGGATTCGGTAAAGAGAATTTTAAAAAATTGAACGCGATCGATCCTGTGGAAAAAGCTGCGAAGAGATACAAACATGATTCGGTGGAGGAAAAGGGAGCATTGGAAATCGAAGAACAGCGCATCGTGGATGATACAATAGAGAACGCGAATGTGTCTCGGGATATTTCGAGAAACGGATACAAAGTCGCGAAGAAAAACTACAAGAAGTTGAAATTGGCCCAGATTCAAACCGGTTATAGCGATGCAAAGAACAAAGGACGCTCGAGCGACCGAAACCTCGTGGAAGCAATGGATTTGCCTGAAAAAGTAATCGAAAGACGAAACGCGAATTACACCGGCGACAGAGAGGCGTCGGTTTACAATAAAGAATTTATGCAGAGTCGTAAACAATACGCGAACGATCTGGCGCGTAGACAAATACTTATAGACCAGCTTCGCGCTCGACAGCGTATGATGTTCGAGCAGTATGAAAAGGAGAAATCTACGACACCGAAGTACAGTGACCACGATTTGAAGAATCGAGCAAACAATAATAAATCTTCGAACGTCAAACGCGAGAACAAAATTGTTTATGGAACGAATGGTACTAATAATCAGATGTCGGTAGAGAAGAATGGGGAAGACTATGAATATTACGAGTACGAGAGCGAGGAAGAAGAAGACACTGTTCGTACTACGGAAGCCATTGTTGTCACGATGACACCAGTAAGTAAACTTTCAATTTTATAAATAGTTCCATAAAGTCACTTTTGATGTATTTTTGATACATAATGTGTTACTTTTTAAAAATTGCTGGTTTTATGGAGATTTAAAGCAGTGCAATAGTGGAGTACAACGATTAGTAAAGCATGCAAATAAGGAATCCAATAAATAGTAATACAACAGAGGCTCTATAAATAAAACTGCACTGCTCAAAATTTCCATGAAGCCACTTCTAATGTATTTTTAATTAATAATGTGATACTCTTTAAAAATTGCTGGCTTTATGGAGATTTAAAGCAGTGCAATAGTGGAGTACAACGATTAGTAAAGCATGCAAACAAGGGATCCTATAAATAGTAATACAACAGAGGCTCTATAAATAAAATTGCACTGCTCAAAATTTCCATGAAGCCACTTCTAATGTATTTTTAATTAATCATGTGATAATCTTTAAAAATTGCTGGCTTTATGGAGATTTAAAGCAGTGCAATAGTGGAGTACAACGATTAGTAAAGCATGCAAATAAGGGATCCTATAAATAGTAATACAACAGAGGCTCTATAAATAAAATTGCACTGCTCAAAATTTCCATGAAGCCACTCCTAATGTATTTTTAACAAATGATGTATTACTCTTTAAAAATTGCTGGCTTTATAGAGATTTAGAGCAATGCAACAATGGAGAACAACGTTTAGCAAATCATGAAGGTTTAATCGACTAAAAAATAGAAAAATTACGATCATTTCCAGATCCCCAAGAAACTTGACGCTACCCAATGGGGCAAGTGTGATCGTGACATAGGCAGATTACTGTACCAGCACAACGTGGTCCTATCCATAGTGAAGGGCGCAACAACCGAAACGAACGTTGGAATATCGGTGGACGATTTCTACAGCGTCACCTGCGTAAAAGTAAGCCCACCCGCGGAGAGCGAAATAATCGCGACGTTCGAGGTCGCTCGCGGTGAAAACGACGTAATCGAAAATGTCAAGATCATAGTAAACGGGCTCGAAGACGGGGAGCTCACGTTCTCCATTAAAGTCTGGGTCGCTAGAAAGAACAGCAATCATTGCAGAGGCGGTTGTTGAACAGTCTTCATAAATTTTATAATTAAATCCAGCACACTATATGACAATTTACATTATAAAAAAGATTGTATCCACTTACAATATTAAAAAACACCCTTATGTACTAAAAAGGTTCTTGCGCGATAGTCTTTACAATGTTTTTGAGATTGAAACCAGGGCTGGGGAAAATTTGGGCAGAAACCTTTTGTTTGCAATACTATTAATTATTCTGAATACTGTGAAATATTTTAATGAAATACTAATTTCACAATACTGTTTCCATATTTACATTCTATATTTTATTTTTCCCACAGCCCTGGTTAAAATCAACGCTCTAAAACTCAAAGCTCTTTCTTAAATAATACTAGTCTTATTCACAACTTCCGCTTCAAGAGCTCTTGGGTACCGCTGTTGGAAGAGGCGGGGGTGGCACATCAGGCACTTTATCCTTCTCCAGCTTTGCAGTGTCCTTCTTTTCCTCGTGGTAACCCGGAAGCAGATGGCCAGAGGGTCCATCCTTTGGCGTGGACGGAGGAATGGGCTCCAGAATTCCATAGGGATGATAGTCGGTGTAATAGGTCCCCGGAATCAGAGGGTTCACTCCATTGTAGTAAAAGTAAGGGTCGTAATAGAGCGATTGGTAATTCGGATAGAAGCTCAGAGGCTCCTCTCCTTGCTTGCTTCTTGATCCTGAGCCAGCGTTATCTTCTTTTTTATCCGCTGGTTCACCGCTCGCCTCGCTGGTCCTCAAAGCACTCTGAGGCGCTACTTGCGTGTAATAAAATGGCGGTACGTAGCCGATCGCCGTTCGATGAATCACTGGCTGTATCACTGGGACTGCCCTGGACGGAGACAGGTTCTGGTTGCTGGTGACCACCGCGTTGTACACCTTGGGGACCCTGAGGAGCCCAGGGTGCCCCATCGCCAGCCCCACCAGCCCCACAAAGACGTACAGCTTCATCTAAAAGAAGTTTATTGGTTAGATCCAGAAGAGATTCAATTGTTTAATAATTGTAACTTCAATTAATGATTTAACTGTAATTGGGAGGGGGCCCAGGTCCTTTACTCCAGAGCGTTGCAAACCTGAAACATGCAACACATGGTTAGGCGAAGCTATGGTGTAATTTCTTGCCACGTGTCGATAAAAGTGTGTTTCTGAGGGACAGCATACGAAAGAGAGCCTGAAGCGTGCACAGAATGTACACACGCGACCGTAGCTGTCGCGCCCAGCGAAATTTTTCCCGGTGCGTCAAGTTCAACTGGTCGAGACCAACAGTTGGTTCCAACAAAGGCGATCCAAACCGTGGAAACGTGGATCGATCATTGTTAAACTGTTCAAACACATGCAACCGACTACGTAGACCGGATATAAATATAGAACGATCGCAAGGTTGATTTTCGAAAGTGCTCCTACACAGATTCTAATTTGCAATTGTTAAATTGTTTGTAATGGTGGTTCCTGATGATTTAAAGATACTATGCTCACCTCGTATTTGATCTCGTGTGGATCTTCGCGCAGGATCGTCGAGAAGCTGACACCAAGTAGCAAGAGAACTGCATGGGACCGTAGTATATATGGCCCATAGGGTCTCGGGGTTCAAGTCCCAACTCCCCCCACCACGGTCCCCACTTGGCGAAAGTACTCTACGTACTATAATGTTCAACTTCAGGTCCGCCCATATCACCGACCGGTGAACTGCAGAAGGACAGACGTTTACCGTGCACACGGGATAAACAAACGGAAGAATCCATGCACACGATCAATAAAATTACTTGATCGTTCATACAATATTCCTTATTTTCAAATTTTTTCAAATTTTTTTAATGTCTCGTTGTAAGACCATTATGACCTATCACATAAGTGATCTTATAGGCTCAAGTGCCTCTAATTGTAAGTATTTTCCAACGTCTCCAAAAGTAAATTTATACAATATTTACAATGTCTATAACACAGTGTAAAATTGAACAACTCTATGCAATATTTAGAACAGCTGAGAGTAAATGGTTCAGTCGCAAATAGCGTGCACGAATTGAAACGAAAAAACAGTTTCGACTTGGAAATTGATAGTCGAGACGGATATCTGTCAAGCAGTGGCACGCTAGGAGCTGACACGCGTTAATCTTCTCATTCCAGATAGGTTCGAGTGTCGTTCGTCGACCTTGCAATCGAGCAATTATTCATAGAACGGTCCACTCAGGTCCCACGAAAGACCAGAGTCAGCAAGATCAATGGTGAACGTTCAATGACGCACAGCAATTTATATAACGGTAAGAGAAATGATACGGACGAAGAATAATGCGATCCGTGCTGTTTTATTTCGACAAGATGTTTATGTACAAATCGCCAGTGCGCACGACACGAACGAGAACGCGACGGGGAATCGACGCCAACGATTTCTGAGGACTACGTTCGTCGGGATTTCGGTCAAACGGCTCGCGGGGCATCTTTTGCGAAACATCGTTCCCGTTATATTCGGTTTATTCGGCTTTTCGCGACAGACGTGCGACAGGAGTGGCGGAGTCTTGGCAACGACGGCGAAGAAATCGCGAACGACCGGTCAAAGGGTCGAATCGCGACCGGAAACCGCGATTTCTACGCCGTGAAATACCTAGAGCGACCGATTTTTGCTAAATTATGTGACAATTCCACATCGCGTCCCAGGCACAAAGAATACATTGTATTCTGTTGCAATTGATATTACTAATTAATACTAATTAATATTAAAACAAAGATTGGTACTTCAGGGTATCCCGCTCGAAAGGAGCCATCTTAGAGTCTTCTTTAATCAGAATCTTATGAACAAATGTATTTTAATATTGAAATATCACGATCCATTGAGTGACTTAGATGAAATATTATTGAGCAATTTAATATTCTCAAGTTCTTTTTAACGCTCGAGAAGCCTCTTAACAGTACAAAAATTCGAATTGACGTGTTCGTTTTTGAGTTATAAACGAAAAAATTTAAAACAATTCGAGATAAAAAAAATACAACTAGCCTATCAGGTAGAGAACGTTAAACTGCACAAGTATTATATAAGCGAAAATGAGCGTTAACGTGCTAGTTTTCGAGTTATTAACGAAAAGCGGTCGCGAGCGATCGCTCCAGCGGGAAAAATCATCGTGGGGCTAAATTTCGACACGCTATCCTGTAGGAAAAAAGCAGGGGAACACAATGCCGTCGTTAAACACATAGGTCGCCGTGCTCGTTTTCGAGAAAAAATTAAAGAAACCAACAGATGGTTTGCTTTGAGTGGGATACCCTATATGCATGGACTTAACAAGTATTTTTGATTGTGCTTCCTTTAAACGAAATACGGGTACTCTAAACGCTAGATCTAACCATTTGATCACAATTTTATACGGATTACTATTGCCAAATATTTACAATTTCGTTGTTGTTATGAGAGGAACATCAACATTTGCTGCTGCTTTGCCAATATACATAGCAATATTTCGAGAAGAGTTTTAAACATAAAATGAATGTATCATAGAAGATATAAGATACCACAGGGCGGTTCAACAGCGCAAATACTGAAATTACTTGTAATAATACTTCCTGAAGTTACACTAAATGCTTCAGAACTGTGATTCCCACAACAATAACAATACAAGCCTGCGACGTGCAATTACTGAAATAATAATACCTATGCCTATACTTGTCTTATCTATAACCTTGCAAAGTGTAAATCGATGCTTTGAAACCGTACATTTCAACGTCGTCGTATACAATCAAGAATATAATTGAAATTACTCGATCTACGAGGAGCCTAGCGTTTTACAATTCAATTATGGTGGGAAATGAGTGTCATATAGACTCGATAGGGATGTAACACATTCTTCTGAACAGTAATATCGGGAAATTCGGCAGGAAAATGATGAGAAGCAGCACGAGGGGCGACAAGAGCAGCAGGATGTTGGCGTAGATCACCAGCCACCATACCGAGGATATTCCTAGAATAGGATCCAGCATCGTGAATCAGGCACGCAGGAGGCTCGTAGTTTGATAAAAAGAATCCATAATTCCGATCATGTTCCCTCGTTGCAAAAGACCTGAAAAACGGGGGGAGTATTAATATTGGATTTTAAATGAATTTAGAAAAATTCAGAGATAATTATTTTCAAGATGGCGTCTCCCCCGTAGCAACGTTCCACGCGTGCTGTCGTTTTTCAAGGATAGCTATCCATTGCAACATAGCGCCAACGTCGAAAGGCAAACCAGTCGTCCGTACAATATACGGAATAACGATCGTTGTATTGCGCAGCGCAGATAAATCTGATGTTCAACACCCGGACACGGTTTTATTAAGTACAGGGCTAGGAACGAAAGCAAACAAAGACACGTGTGTTCGAATCTTGGCAGTGAAAGAAACAGATTGCATAAAAAATAGTAGAATATTTCTTATTATAAAAACTACTGTGGAGGGGGGTAAAAAAATAAGAATTTAATTTTACTGATTTTTTAAATTTTTTAATTTTAGTAATTTGACTGTTTTTTTAGAGTTCTCGACGTTGGCGTGCACTCACGCCAAGAACACATGTTTAGGTGCGCGGAGAAATGAAATAATAGGAGACACACGCGCACATGTCGCGCGCCTGCACGCGATTGAGCTACTTACGCTAGTTGCACAACGACGGAGCCTCCGGTTTGTCTCTGGCTATTGTGCAATTCACCATTGTCTATAGCAACACTGACGATTTAACGCGTTTTCGACGAGATCTCGAGCCTCGAGTGTATCTTCCTAGTGGAGGTCTTTGTCCAGGTCACTGGCGGTCCTAGAAACTTGGAAAATGCATTTGTTATAATTTAATAGCGACCAGAAGCATGGAATGCTTCCCTTTTACTTAGTTGCAAAACACTGTGGGCGCCGTGTGTTCGAGGTTTAAAAATCCAGCGTTCAAGGAAAGCATTGCGCCGCGCGTTTATGGTCGTCCTTGTACGGGATAAAATATGTTCGTCCCGTGACAGAGACAGACCGGTCGAGCAGGCTGGCGAAAACGAAAAAACGTGTTCAGAAAAAACCTGGGCGACCGGCGCACACGCGAACAGAGTTGAAACGCTTTTGGACTAAAGTCGAGGATATTTTAATGTGGCTCGCGCGTGGCCACTGTGTCTCGAGGTACGCACTCGTGGCAACCGACCGCGATCGCACCGCAGAAAGTGAAATTTTCACGATTGCGTAACTGCAACATAATACTATTATTCAACGTTGATCGTGGTTACGCAGTTACGGACGTTAATACGTCCACGTGGGTCCCCGGTGACCCACGATATTTTCCAACAATTGTTGAAATAAAATTGCTTGACAAAGGATCAAAATACAAATGAAATCGCTTTTTTGTGATTGAATTTTTTAATTTTGATTTCAATTTTCCTGACTTGAATGATTCAATGATTCTTCAACTTTATGTTGAATTTAAAAAATTGTTACACAGAGAATGAAATTACAATTTTTATTGCTATTCTGTGATTGAATTTTTAAATTTTGTTTTTAATTTTACTGACAATAAATGATTTTTCAACTTGATGATCAAATAAAATTGTTAAACAGAGAATAAAAGTACAAATTGTATTGTTTTTCTGTGAATTAATCTTCTAATTTTCTTTTGAATTTTCCTGACAATAAATTATTTTTCAACTTTATGTTGAAATAAAATTGTTAAACAGAAAATGAAACTACAAATCTAGTAACTTTTCAGTGATCGAATTTCTCAATTTTGTTTTGAATTTTCCTGATAAAAAACGATTATTCAACTTGATGTTGACATAAAATTGTTAAACAGAGAATGAAACTACAAATGTATAGCTCTTCTGTTCTCAAATTTTTAGATTTTTATTTGAATTTTGAAGACAATAAATGATTTTTTAACTTGATGTTGAAATAAAATTCTTAAACCAAAAAAAAACTACAAATATAATCACATTTCTGTGCTAAAATGTTCAAATTTTAATTTGAATTTTGATGAAGCGTTCCCTCTTGCAAAATTTCCCCAAACACTGAACACTTGTGTAAGTAACTTTCAAACGTCCTTGGGCCACAAAAGCTAATAAATCGTACATTCAAAATTACAAAAAAAAAGCATTCTACGTGACTTTTGAACCATTCGCGAACCACCGTATTTTCCAAATAAATATCACAGAATTAAACTGTGTTGCTAAACATCCATTTTGGAAACAAAGCATTCCTCGTCTCTATTGTCCCTACCTTTGCACATATCTCAGAAAACTTTCGACCTGGCAATATCCTGTGTCACGTTGTTAGGAGACCCCCGCACACTCTGATAGTACGAATCCTTTTTTTATCTTATTTGTTTAAACGTGCGATAAACCGGCGTCGATAACGCGTTTCTCGCGAGCGTTCCGTGAACTGAGCGCTTGGTCTCCCATGCTTCGATGTCCCAGATGTACTTTCCCTTTCTTTCGGCACTTTGAAACACCAGTCACAACAGTTGAGTCACCCGACAAACGACGCTTCGTGGAATCCTCTCCCGTTTCACGAACAAGGGACCGTCTGTGTGCGAATCCCGATGACATTGACTGGTTTCTGACTTGGACCTCCAACAGTCCGTGAACGTTCTGTTCCTTTTTCGTTCGAACGAGGATATTGCGTCGGGTCAGTAAATAAAGAATGTCAATAGTGAAACCATAGCAAAAAGTAGGAATATATACGCGAAACCGGCTTCAAACTTGGTCGATTTAAACCGACGAATCAATTTATTAACGCGTCCCCTAAAATCCTATGTCAGCCATTTTATTTCCAAATCTTGGCGCCTCCGGGGATTCACCAGAAAAAAACAAATCCTTGACCTTAATATTCCTGTCATTTTAATGACTTAATAATTACAAAAAACAGGAGACATAATAAATTTTAAATTGTTTATTTAATTTTGGAGAAACTTTTAAACAAGTCTGAGTTAACTTAATATTTAAATCCTGAATATTCTAAATATTAAGTTTGAAATCTTTGGGTAGAACTTAATATTTTAATCCCTGGTGCCACACAGCGGGTACTGCATGAACTATTCTGTGCAAACATGGTTGATGTACATGAACTGAAGTACCGACTTGAAACTAGCGATTTTTATTAAAGAAATTATTTTAAATTCACAACTATTACTAATTACTAATTATAAATACTGTATTTATGCTAAACTATACTAGGGGGATGCAGCCATTAGCTCATATCATTTGCTATGTAATTAATAATTATATCAAATTAATTACATACTAAATAATATGACCCAGGTCTCACCACGAGGAGGTTGCTGCAAAATGGAGACCCACCCTAACCTCGCCCCAACCACCCTTCCTTTGGCGAGAATCCTAACTTTATTTTAGTTTAAAGAAAAAAGGAAAGAGAAAAACTATCAAAATTTGACCATTGTTGGAAACAAACGTCAAAGGGAGAGTTCTCAGAGGAACTCCCCGACTAAACATAAATAAATAGACAGAAAGTCTAACAAAATGTTGCTACATGCTTGGCAATCCATGTTTTCCAAAAACGAAATAGGAGATTGCAACTGCACGTACAAACTCTGCCTGATGAAGAGATAAAAAATCTAACAAAATTTTGCCACACTTGTGACGACCCTCCATATGTTATAGTAAAGTGCAACTGCACGTATGAGTCCTGACTTATAGTATACCAATAAGTGCCTAATAAGACGCTGAAGAACCAAGAAGAGTTGTGCAACTGCACGTATGAACCTTGCATATTAGAATACTAATATGTAACTTAATATTAATTGTAATAGGACCACGCTTGTTACAATAAACGTACGCTCGTGTATCTTACAATCTAGGTATTTGTAATCGCCTAATTATAATTTAAACTTATATTCTAACGCAATCTGATGAAATAATCTTCCTGATGATGTCTTTGTCGATCCCACCATGCTTAAAATAAAGAAATATGAAGAGATATTTTCTTCATGAAGTTGTTATTAATCCAACGATGCTTTTCTGAAACATACACTAACATACAATAAATGTAATTTATAGAAAATAAGGAAATATGAGGAGATAGTTGTTTCTTGAAGTCTTTATTGGTCCCACGATGTTTTCCTGAAACATAAATTGAGACAATAAATAAAATTGTATGAAATGGATATTTTTCTAAAAATGATGAAGCTTGAATCCATGTACGATTTTCAATTACATACTTTTATACTTCTATATTCTGTAAAAAAAACTTGTTCAAAAGATTAGTAGCTGAAATGAAAATTTATTAGTTGGCATCAAGGTCAGCGGTCCAGTGAAGATCCAGAAATGGTCAAGAGGTGGGACCAATCGAAATATGTAGTTTCTTTCTAGACAAGACAGTCTTAACTGTCAACTTCAGCTCTGGCTCTGACTGGTCTCCCCACCCTTTCATCACCTTAATCATATAAGCAGGGTCTCTGCGAAGAATTCTTCAGTCTCGTCGCGGATTCGGGAGTGGGCAAATAGCCAGAAGTGAACCGGGGACCGCTGATGACCGCTGATGACCGCTGATGGCCGCTGATGACCACTACTGGCCAGCACTGACCAGGAGTGACCAGGGCTGACCAATACTGACCACTACTGACCACTACTGACCAGTGCTGATTCGCGTTCCTACCACTACTGACCACTGCTGACCACTACTGACCAGTGCCGGACGGTGATGACTACGGTAAGAACTGTTTAAAAATTCTCTCCCCTCTTCTATTCTATCGTTTGATACCAATTTCGCTTCACTGAACTGATTTTGCCTTGCTTGCCCTAACTGACGTTGCTATAATATGAATATTTTCTTACTTTACAGCTGATCCAGTGGTAACTACCCTATATACTGACAACAAGTAGTAAGTCCACACCACTTATTTATATTTTATTATTTTTATTTGTTTGTTTGATGTGAATTCAACTTCGTTTATCTATCTGATTTTATTTGGTTACTATGAATGTTCCTTTTCTCGGTTTCCACTTTTACATTGTTCTTCGAATCAATGTGATTGCTTCGATATGTATAATATTGCAGGATATATTAATGTAACATTGTTTTCGATCATATACTATATTTCTGTCTATACAATATCATGAATTTTTATTTTTAAGCTAGGTGATAGGTTGATAGGTAATTTTTAAGTGTTTAAAAACCTCCTTTTTAATCCCTTAGCTTAATGATGTTTCAGAGACGTGATGAGTTTACCGGGTCCTAACATGAACAAGACGTCTCAGAGAAGTGATAAGTCTACCGGGCCAAACCTTGGCGACACCTTTGGCACGAACAGTTGGAAATTAAATCGTAAGGCAAAGGGGTAAAACGACTGGTTGTATTACGTGCTTTCTTTGGCAAGTGTAGTTAGTACCTTTTGCTTAAAATTCTAATCTTCTTGCACACCGCGATTTTTAAGATGACAAATGTCATAGTAGATTCATTTTTAATTTGACACTGATTTTAAAATGAATATATAACGAGTACATATACATATACGAATAGTTCACTTTCTCTCGTCCGCTCGTTCTCTGGTTCTCGCTTTCCGAGATTATGTCTCGACCGAAAGGATCGGAGAGTTTTTTGCTCGATCACCTCTGTTTGATAGAATGAAACATGTGACGCCTGTGTATTAGGTGTGATAGCTCTTACCGCTTCAACCCCGGTGCAGCTTGGTTCAGCTTAAGTGGGGCCTCGCCGAGCGCATATATTCTCCTCTTTATACGGAAAAGAGAATGACCTCCGGTGAGAGTTCTTGACCCATATCCGTTCTCGAGTACTAAGCGGGTCCTGTTGTGACCGTGTGTCCTCCAGGGCCCGGCGGTTGTACGTAGAGAGGTCCGATCGACGTGGGTCAGGGGCGCGACTTGCTTTTCTGATAATCAAGGCCGGGGGGGATCAATCTGATACCCACACTCACTGCACGCTCATGAGCACGTGTCGCGTCGCGTTTTATTCAAGCGTGCGATGATTTTTACACGCCGCAATTTTTAATATGACAAATATCGTAATATCGATCGAAAGTAGAGCCATGATTTTAATATCTTTTACAATACTTATGATTATATTAATTTTAGAATGAGTGTCAAATTAGTAGCTTCCGATTGTTCTTTACATTCTTCGATAATTAAATTCACTTTCATAATTTAGTTGACGACTTTGGCTATCTTCGATATCGAAGGTACCCAAAGTCTGTCTTTACTTATTAAAATATATCATTAGATTTACGTGCAAGAAGATATTTCGCGACGAATACATTTTAGAGTCAAAGTAACCTCGTGTATTATGTAATATATTTACTTTCTCACCGCACTTGCCTGGAGTTGTAGTATTTGTAGTTTTACAGATTCAGTGTTGTTCTCTTACTAATCTATTAAACAAGTTTCTGTTACAGAGCATATTCCTATGGAAGTTTTAGGTCTATAAAGGTAAACAATTAAGAATTCTTACAATTTTGTTTGATATTGCTTTGTTTGTGTTTCAGGAAATCATCGTGGGATAAATAGAAGATAGAAGAAAGAAGAATGTATTTCATGTATTTTGTTTCAGATTGCTTAGTTTATGTTTTAATAATTTAGATTTATAGTTAGGTAGAATGTAACAGTATGTATCAGGAAATCTTCGTCGAAGAATCAACAAGGAAGAATATATTTTCTACGTATTTTGTTAGACGATTAGATAGGTAGGATGTAAATGAATTTAGATTTATAGTTAGGCAGGAGTTTTCTATATTAATCATTATATCGGGCAGGCAATACTTCGATCTATTTCTCTGTTTTGTTGATGAGAATTTAAAGGCAAATTCTTTCTCAAAAAACTCTTTTGTTGGTTGTTTCCTTCGTTGGTTGCACTTTCGTTTGTTTCTTCTTCTACCAACGATTGTTGGTCATAGATTTTTATTAATGGAGGGTGGTTGGGAATCGGTTAGGGCGGGTCTCCATTCGCAGCAACCTCCTCGTGGTGAGACCTGGGTAATATCATTTAGCGTTTGATTAATAATCGTATCATTCTTAGCTGGGTAATGCAATTATTAATTAAAAACTAAATAATATTAGCAAATTGGCTGCGATCCGCTTTGCATAGGTCATCATAAATAAGTTGACCTAATCACTAAAACCGTTTGAATCAGCAAGATTTCTACTCTCGAAATCGTAACTACAGGAACAGGACTGCCACGCGAAAACGTGCCTGCCCGAATAACTAATGTGGACAGTCCTGCCCTGACCCTACCTACTTACAATTAACACACACACCAAAAAGTTACCTACCTACCTAACGCTATATTTAAAAAATTGCAAAACTCATTCTCTCAAACAAACACTCCACGGTTCTCATTCTCAATGTCCGGGCGCGACCTAAACTAGAGGGGACTTCCCGGGGTTCCCCCGACACCCGGACACAACTGACATCATTCACACTCTAAATGTACGTACCAGTTTCTGGAATCGATTGACAAAGGCTAGAGACCATTGCGTATTTGTATTATATATAAAAACATTTATATGGAAAGTTATGATTTATTTATTTAATTTATTTAATGTTTAAAAGTATTAAAATTGTAAATCTATTAAGCATTCGAGAATCTTTTGTGAATGCAATATTGATAATTGTTGAATAAATGGTTTATAGAAATTTTATAATAAAAGAAATGTTACTAAATAATAAGAAAATCAGTAATATTATTATTACAACTGATGAAATTTATTGTTAGAAAATTTTATATGAATAAGTTCTGAAACGACGCACTACCACAACCTAACCAAACACACGTATGTGGACAGTACGTCGCGCACGATTCACTAACCAATGTCAATCGCCAATTATACAAATTATTATTAACAGAGTCGTCGTGCCCGTTACCTTCGCTCATGCAAGTAGCACCTGGGCGTGTGCATGAACTTAGGCAACGAACACGGAATGATCAATCTGAAAATCCTAACTAGAAAGTAGTTATTAATAATTAAATAAACGGTATCTATTATTATTGAATTCTGAATTAGAATGACTCGACTTGTTATATGTGATTTATCAACAAGAAAAGAAGTTAATACTGAAAAATATTATTATTAAAGAAAATTAATATGATTTGAATTGAATTATATTTGAAATTATTAATTAAAATATTGAATTACCCTTGGTACGACTTCGTCATCAAAGTAAATAGTTTAAACAATGCATGTTACTTTGATTTAGAAATCTATCCATCGCGAAATGCCTTTTTGTACATGAAATTAATATTTTTCAACGAGTAACGAAAATTTATAATATTTTCCATAATCATCACTTTATATTTCAACATGAAATCTGAAAAATATAAAAAAAGATCAATATTCAATATGATGAATGTAATCAAAAGTAAAATCATTCAAATTATAAATATTATTGTGTAAATTTATTATAATTAATATTTATATTTTATCATTTCTGAATTACATGCTCATATTTATTTAATATGCAGCATTTGTGATATTAAAAAACGCGATGTACAAAAAGACCCTAACCTCACCTAACTAATAAAAATATACAGGTTATTATTCACGGGTATTGAAAATACCCGCGGTCACTAAACTCGTCAAATAAATCAAGTATACAACTGGTCACCCGTGTCAATTCGGACCTTTCGTCCTATGACATGATTAGGGACCAGAGGGACAAAAATACATGCAACTCACCAATGATGAACTTCATGAGATGCACCTTTGGGATGAGTCCATGATGAGGATGCTGCTCGGTAGAAATCATCAGAGAAGTCATCTGCATAGTCCTGCTGGATTTGGGTGCCCAATGATGGTATATAAATACGCTGTAAAAAAGCAGAAACAATTAGAAACTGTCGTTAAAATTATAGACATTTTTAATTTAATACAATGTTCAAAACTAATCACAGATTTCTTATAATTTGGAGAATTTTAAACTGATAGTAAAATTTGTAAATATTTTTTTCTAAACGCGCATAAAAAATGTAGGATATACTTACATTTTACGCTTGCGAAGCATCGTTCAAAAAGTCCGCTTCAGCGATGCACTGATTCTAATCGCGGTGTCGGGAGATTCTAATTTTCAAACAATAATTGAGAAAAATATTTAAAAAGATAGTAACGCGACCGGAGAATAAAAATCGACGAACAAGGGAATCTACTGTCGCGAATTACAAAGCAAAGAGCCACGATGCTCTGGAAAACATTTACTACGCAAGAGACACTGGCTCGACCTTCGCGAGTGCCTAACCTATGGACGATACACTACACGAAGCCACTATGCTTCGAAAAACAACAAACTATCTACGCGTAACCACTGACTCTACTGACCGCATTGCGCTCGGTCACAAAAATTCCTGAAAGAAAAACTGTTGAATGGGAAAGGAAATAAAACATGTTAGACAAGCACCGTGTGCTTTCTTATTCTCTTTATTCTTCTACATTTATCACAGGAAATACTGTTTCTTTATTAATCCAAATTAATTATTTAATTTAATCGCGATATTTAATAACAGCAGATTAAATATTGATATTCGAATATATTAATCACGATCAAGATGCAGTAAAATAGATAATTTCGATTTGCTACCCCCATCTAGTGACGCCATTAAAATTACGTGACCGTTACGAAAATGACCGTTAGAAATATGCATTACATTTAATCTGAATTCCAGTTTAATCTGAACACTGAACGCAATTACGAGTAAAAATTCAATAAAAAGCAAAAATATATGACCAAATATAAATACCTCACTTACTATAAAACATCAAATCTCACCAACGATCCGTTTGAAATGATTTCTTCGATTGGATTGTCCACCAGCGCTATGGCATCGTTGGCCAATGGCGTCCTTCGAATCGAAAACTGTAACAGAAATAAAATACAAATTTTGATCAGATGCGTTAATGTGAATGTGCCTATATCGCAATTAAACAATGATTGAGCTTGAAATAAATTGTAAAAGATAGTATACGATCACATTTACCGAAAAATAATGACGCTCGATGCCGGTTGAATGCCAGAAAAAATGCACGAGGCTGATCGACTTTCTTCTCGATTCAGATTCTATTCGAAAGAAATATGAATTAGTATTAAACGAAGGCATAGTTAGAGAGTGGGAGAGAGAAGTAATAGTTAGATGAGAAGCGATAAAGTGTCGATAGATAAATCGTATGCGTAACGATACTTTATTCGAGAAACTGCTGACACGTCTGACCGCGCCAATTTTTTCGTTACGAATGACGTCAGCGTCCGATTAGCAGCGACACCGCGCGGTAGGTGGCGGGCGGGGGAGATGACAGGCTTCGACAAGATTCGACAATTTTCGTCAGGCCTACGCTCGCTCGCTCTGAATTGTTTTCACGTAATTACGACCGTCGTTCGTCTCGTATTTTCAATAACACAACACTGAAACGTACTCGACGACTGTCAACATTCGTTTCACTCAATGAAATATTACACGTAGTAAATACGAAATAACCTTTTAAATAGGAAATATTATATCCAAGATTTTAATCGTTGCAGGCATATTTTTATGCGTTTCGAATTATTTTCGAAACAATCTTTAGACACAGAGTACGCTGTGAAACTAATAAATTTTTTACAAGGCTGGTTTTTCAATTCAACAAATACGAACTCCCATTAACTATCTAGTTCATGATCTACATTATCGACGCTATATTATCTATGGTATTTATTACGTTGGACACGTATCATAGTTTGTTGGGTTAGAAACGAGGTATAAAATAAAACTATGAAATGAAACTTTTTGGCAGATGAATATTTCTAACTTATTGAAAGGAAAGGTGGGAACGATACGTGTTACGTATTATTAAGCATTATTGTAACTATTGTTTCATGTAAATTATAAATTGTTTGAACAATCATCGACAAATGAATATTTTAAATAAAATAATATTTGTAACGAACATATATAATGCTTTTACTATAATATTAAATTCAAGAATAGTTCGCTAATATTCTGTTTTTTGAACAGTAAATTGAAATAAAAAATGGTCCTTCGTTAAGTATTGTTGGCCCTAAAAAGGGCCGTTTGGTGTGTGACTGAATAAAGCAAAATTATGCCTTCTTCTCAGTCTTCTTTGGTAGTAAAACTGCTTGGATATTAGGTAAAACGCCTCCTTGAGCTATGGTAACTCCGGACAAGAGTTTGTTCAACTCCTCGTCATTCCTGATAGCCAACTGCAAGTGTCGTGGAATAATTCTGGTCTTTTTGTTGTCTCTGGCTGCGTTACCGGCCAATTCCAGCACCTCAGCAGCTAGATATTCCATGACAGCCGCCAAATAGACAGGAGCCCCAGCACCGACACGTTCTGCATAGTTTCCTTTGCGAAGCAGTCTGTGAATACGTCCCACAGGGAACTGGAGACCAGCTCTGTTGGAACGGGACTTTGCCTTTCCCTTTATTTTACCACCTTTGCCGCGTCCAGACATCTTTTCAAACGAGATATGGTTGTACAAAACAAAAACTACACGTCCGTCTACCAACGAGGGCGTACGAAATGTGACTGTTGGGGCCTCAGAGCCCCGCGTTTATAGCAGTGGATGGTGAAAGGTTCCGCCAATCAGATCACGAGTAGCCGGTTGGTGTGACGCGATTGGCGCGCTGGTACTCCATATGCCCGACATCTGCTCCGTGTGCGACCCCTGTAAAATCTATTGCCTACAGAAAGATATTTCGTTTGAACTTAAACAGACAAAGGCCAGGTATATTAGTACTTTGAACATACAAAAAACATTTAATACAATGTAGTATCACGTCCTTAGTTTAAAACTTAAAAATCTACAATATTCCAATACGTTTCACAACAATGATGCAAAAGTTTCCTTATAATCGAATTATGAAAGTAATACGGTGGTTCCATGTCCATATTAAGAATCAAAATATACTTTAAAATTCGATTATGGGTCCTTTTTATTTATTATTCAGATTTGAGAAATCTTACACGCGGTCAGATCAGCAGAGAAGGCATAAAACATACTAGGCAATACTGCCATCTACTCTTGATTTTAGTAACCAGAAAAAGCTATGTCGCACATATTGCACTAATTAATGTAAATCGATCTAGACGATTAAACATTAAATTTAAACGCTTTGCAAGATAAAATACAGTCACGACAGAAGTTTTCGACCATAATATAGAATGGAATGGTAGTGTTAAAAGTGTTTATATAGAATTCCACGTGGCTCTGTTTTTCACGTGGTTCCCAGATGTTAGTTTTGTAGAAAAAAAATGAAAACATGAGATTTTCTCGTTTAAGACCTGCTTAGGAAAAGTAAATTGTCATATCTTCTATGAAATAGATTTATGCTAGCTTAGACGATCTATGCAGTACTGATGTACATATTACATAAATTATTACATTATATCTACAAAAAGTTGCTTAAAATGCGAGAATTGTTTAAAATTCAACTGAAACAATTAAAAACATGCTTGAACTGCAATACCTACTAAAATAAAGTAATTTTCTAATGTAAAATACGAAATATCACATACAGCATTACGTTTATGATCATAGTTTGATACTTTTATAGGCAGAATGACAAGAAATAATCTATGTAAAAGAAATGTATGTAACAGCATGTTCCAGTTTTTAGAATCAATCTCTGTAAACAATATTATGCAATGGAAATCATTGTCAGCGAGAACGTTACTAGACAATAAAAAAACTATTTAAAAAACGAGTAATCTAAAAAAGTTTTACAAAAAGAAAGGTGAAGTCTACGGTTATGTTTTACGTACATACGTGAAATCCTGCTAACAATGAATCGAGTAACAAGCATTGCACAGAAATTCTCTAACCTTTAAGAATATGTTGAAAAGCATTCAAAAACGCTGTGCGAGTTTATTACAACAAACAGACGACGATTACACCGAAAACATCGAAAACTACAAACTATTACGCGCTCGTTTTCACTAGAAGCATCGATTACTAAAACATAACCTCTCCGCGATCAGTAAAATAATTCGATTTTCAAACGCGAAATTTATGAACATTATCGAAAATTCTCGCAAAGCATGCTAGAAAATAGTATTACTTAGAAAAAAAAAACACGAGTACCACAAAATCATAAAAATTATACTTTATTGGGAATAGAAGGAACGAAAAGGATTAAAGGCAGTCAGAATCGAGATTGTTCTTTCGTCAAAGATTTTTGTGGCCCTGAAAAGGGCCAATGGTATTGTTTTATCGTTGAACAATTTACTTCTTCGGCGTTGCCTTGGTAGCCTTGGAGGATTTCGTAGCCTTCGGCGATTTGGCAGTTTTCGGCTTCGGCGTTCTCGTTTTCGCCGCCGGTGCTTTCGTAGCCTTCTTGGTTTTCGACAGATTCTTCGACTGGGCTGCCTTCTGTTTCTCCATTGCCTGCGCTTTCTTCGCGGCGGCGGTCTTCATTTTCTTCGGCGAGGCTGCCACCGGTTTCTTAACTGCCACTGGTTTCTTGATCGCGGCTGGTTTTTTCACGGCGGCGACACGCTTCTGACTTGCCGGCTTCTTCTCGGCGACCTTCTTCTCCGGCACGGACGACTCGGTCTTCCTCAGTTCGCGTTTCGGTTTACCTTTGGAATCCGAGCCCTTTGGGGACAAAGAGAGCTTGAACGAGCCTGAGGCGCCTTTTCCCTTCGTTTGGACAACAGCGCCAGAAGTCACAGCAGTTTTCAAGTACCTCTTGATGAACGGTGCCAGTTTCTCGCCGTCGACTTTGTAAGTGCTCGCTATGTACTTCTTGATAGCTTGCAGCGACGATCCTTTGCGGTCCTTGAGCTCCTTTATGGCGGAATTCACCATCTCCGATGTCGGTGGATGAGACGACTTTATGCGCGACGCCTTCGGCTTGGACTTCGTAACCTTTTTCAAGGATGTGTTCATCGCCGCACTCTCCGCCACCGCCACGGTTCCAGAACTGTTCTTGTCCTCCATCGTAAACAGAAGTCGTTGAAAGTGTAAAAGTACAAAATCAGAGCTTTATCGATAGTTCGTTCACAGATGACGCTTCGTGCATTGAGTATTAGCTGCGTGCATGCAAACAGTGCATATTAGTAGTGAGAGCACGGACCATGGAGAGTGACCTCTCCTATGTTTCCAATCCACGTTGCCGAGAATCAGAGACCCTCGAGTAAATGTTTGCAATTTAAACAATGATTCGACGGATTCAAAGCGAATATCGAGCTCGTAAATGTTCACCCGTTGTTGGCAGCGTCCGTTGTCATCGTTAAACGATATTGTTTATCTTATTTTTAGTCATTATATTCGTCGAAATTGACATAGACTCATGATCGACCTTAGTCAGCGATAGACTAACGGGATTAATTAAGTAAAAAATAAGGAAATAGTCGGTCGATCGTCATTTTTTTGGTCGAATTAGGTCCCCCAATGTTAGAATTAATTATTTATATTTGCGGTTCGTCGATACGACTCGAATATTGTCTCGAATTTGAAGCGTTCCACGCGAAGGTAAATACAAAGCTACAGAGACGTATCATGGAATGGTCGATGTGATATTCAGTCGTACAAAATATTTAATGGATTCGATGAAATTATCTTGACGACCAAAATACAAATGAAACTTTTCAAACTCTTTCAATCGATCAATTTTATTTTTTCTAAATCGATAATGTCGCGTATTTGAAGGAAATACTCGAGAAGTATGTTGATCAGTGAAACGACTCTTCGACCTACAAAAAATAATTTATGCACGACATTGCACAATTTAAATATTATACGAAAAAATATTGTCATTATTTAATGCTTCGAATAACGGAATAAAATACGAAATATAACCGTATAATGTAATTTAAACTACATTGGTTATTGACAAGTCTACAGATGTTTTTGAACTTTATATTTTAACGCATTAAGAAATTCAAATATGTTTTAAAGGATTATGAATCTCATATCAAATAAATAAGACAGGAAAGATATTAAATATTTATGAAATATGAACTGAATGATTTGGTTACCTTTATTTGCAGAAAAAAAATATAGACTTAACCAAAATCAATATCGACAAAAAAAATAACAATAAAAGACCTGATGAAGGGAAATGAAAAATAAAATATAACACAGTAATTGCATTGGTGTTTTAAAGAAGAGAATTGTTACGATCTTATTATTAATATACATCGCCCTTATTATGCACATAAGTATACATATAATTTTATATGAAAATAATTGAGTGCTGCTATCCAATCTAATCTATTGTCAATACTTATTGTTTGTAATACAATTCCATATCAGTATTAGAAAATGGTGGTCTCCTATATCATGAATGGCCTATCTAGAATATTCTATTACATATCACTATTGTTATTTATCGAGTTAATTTAAACAGATTTAATATACATAAATATTTTTACATAATTATACATAAATATTTTTACATAATTATACATAAATATTTTTACATAATTATACATAAATATTGATTTTGTTTATTTCACATGTAACGAATAAAGAAATATTATGGTGTTAAATTCTAACGATGCATGGTCAATGGTGCACTGCAAATAAGTGACCGTTTTTTGGTTATCTTGTCTATAGGAAATCTCCTACATCTTCTCCCTTCCTTAAAACGCCCTTGGAAAGGGGTGTACGTCCCGGTCGAAATGAAAATATCGTCAAAGAACCATTGGTGACCTTTTTCGTCTTTATGCGGCGTCCAGGTCAACTTTCTCTAGTTTGCAATTCGGAGGTTAATGGTAGGGCTGTGTGCTGGCGCGCAGATGTAGAGTTCCCGACCGTGCACGGGGTCGAAGAATTGTTCGCCCTGCCATAAACCTCGCCAAACAATGAGAGGAGGCGTCAGGACTCCTACAACGCTCGCATACACGTTAGGGCGATGGCTACGTGTGGCCCATGTTGCGAAAAGGCGTAGGCGAGAAGGGCTTCTCAAGTGCTTGTCGCCGTATAAACACAAAATAGTGGGACAATGAAAGAACTCGCTTCTCTGCATCAGTCCTTCACGAGACGTCGATCTGAAACGTAGAAATATCGCAAACGCTCCGTGCCTTAGTTTCATTCACTCACAATCAGTATCCATTTACATTTCTAACTCAGTTATACAGCTAGAATCGTTTAAAATTCGATTCTTATTTGGAACGTGTATTTATAGTAATTTTTATAATTTAATTTATCGATTATAAATGATACTTCTGTTGTGTAAGTTGCATGGGGGGGTCATAGTGACAATTTGGAACATATACAGTTTGGCCATCATGTACCAATGTTAGATCTTGTTTTACATGGAAATTTTATAGACAAATCCAAATTTCTACTAACAGATATGTGTAAATTACTAATAATTTAAAATAGCATCATGCACCATGATTCATACAAATCAAATATAGAACAGAAAAGCAATATACTGCACGTAGAATAAATTCAGAATAAAATAGAAGAATTCATTACTTAAAACGTTGTACGAAATACAAAAAAATGACTTGGTTCTCATATAATATTTGCACTATGGATATTTAATGTACTTAGTTATCTAAAATTGAGTTCAAAGTATTGGTTCCTTATTTCAAAGTTTCGTGGCCCTGAAAAGGGCCATTTTGTTGTATATAGATTTTCTCAGCATGTTCAGCTTATGTTACAGCACACCAATGACGTTCTCCAGGAAAATCTTCGAGGCACCTTGCATTTCTTCATAAATCAGGTCAGAAATACGCTTCACACAGCCATTGCAGTCATTTCTTGGTTATTTTAAATGTAAAATGTGCATTTTTCTTTCGTGTTGCTTCTTGAGTGGCTGCAAAATAGGAGATATTTACTGGATTAGTTAATAACACAGATAAATGAATGCAGAAAGGAAAGAGAATACACATACCTTGTCACAATTATTTTTTTTAATTTTTTGCAACATAGCAAACTGCAACTAGAATGCTCTATACAGCAAACTACCAACGACAAAGGAACTTATTTATATTAATAGCAAGATGGCTAATGAAAGCGTTGGATTATTTAATGTCGATTGTGCTCGAAAATTGGCATCTCTATACAGCAAACTACTAACGACAAATTAACTTATTTATATTAATAGCAAGATGGCTAATGAAAGCGTTGGATTATTTAATATCGATTGTGCTCGAAAATTAGCATTGATTGAATTCGATACTCGGAGACCTCGTCATAGCAGGTAGAAAAGACAATTCAGAAAAACCCAAAGCTTCCAGAAAAAGTACAGTTAGTCAGTTAAAAGAAGGGATATTTTCGACGTGGACACTAACAACGCCACCGCAATAAACCAGCTACCTGAGCCCCCCTATAAAATCATTTCTACAAAGGGGACAACCCTACAACAAATTTACCCAGACCGCCAAGCCTTCACTTATCTTCCAAGTACATGAAAAACCGATTCTGCGTAAAATGTGCTATCATTTCTGCAAAGACCTCATAACCACGAAAATATACCCTCCCCCTCGCACCTAGCACAACCTAGGTATCGAAAATAATTTCCAAATTCAGAGACTCCTCAAACTACCCACGAAATTCAAAAGTACAATAGTTTCAAGTATATTCAGTGCCACAGGTGTCAAGCCTACGGTCACTGTTCAGCAAACTGTACAAAAAACCACGCTTGCGTGAAATGTGCCGCCAACCGTAGCGTCGAAACCCCCAAACAGATGCTACAACTACAAGGGCACTTAAGTCAATGCTTCTGCCTTCTGGTCTTTCTACAGAATCTGGTTTGGTTACAAACTCAGAAAAAAGACTCTACTAGAGAAAAATAATCTATTCCCGACCAAACTCAAAATCTGTATAACAACCATAACCTACGAGGCACAAATCTGATGCATCGTAGCCAACACACACATCACTGTCCAGAGAATTTAAGAGAAGTACAAACAAGCCACGACATCACTCCACCGCCTACACGAAGAAGCCAATATAGAATACTTACTACGCAGAACTACAATTCCCGCCACCAAAACTCCCTAGCAACCAACCTAGGGAACTACAATCCCTTTTCTCATTAAAAAACATTAAAAATTCGCATTAAAACACCCAAAATCACGACTAACCCTTTTCACCATGCTCATCGCGTGATGCATGACACTGAGATTTGAGGTTTGAGATTTTTTAAGCTACCAAAGCCACCAAATTCCTAAACTAACAAACAATAACCACCTAACTACACCCAATACCAAACTCGACTATTTTTCCTAAAGAACTTTCAAATCCCAACAATGGGGTACATATATACTCTTGGTACCCCCACTACGCATGCTCCCCCCGATCAAAAGATGCTGAGCACTTCCCCCACCAATAGTGAGGTAACCAATGAGAGCGTTGAAAGTTGGAACGCTACTCTATATATACCGACTGCCATGCTGCCCGGAAATTTAAGTTAGCATTGAAAGACCATAGCGCACGTTCTGTGAAGAAAGCATCATGGCTCGTACCAAGCAAACTGCACGAAAATCTACCGGTGGAAAGGCTCCACGGAAACAGTTGGCGACCAAGGCTGCTCGCAAGAGTGCACCGGCCACTGGCGGCGTGAAGAAACCTCATCGTTACAGGCCTGGAACCGTTGCTCTTCGTGAAATTCGAAGATACCAGAAGAGCACGGAACTTCTGATCCGTAAATTGCCGTTCCAACGTCTGGTTCGTGAGATTGCTCAAGACTTCAAGACGGACCTTCGATTCCAAAGCTCCGCCGTCATGGCGTTGCAAGAAGCCAGCGAAGCTTACCTCGTCGGTTTGTTCGAAGATACCAACCTCTGCGCAATTCACGCCAAACGTGTTACCATCATGCCCAAGGACATCCAGCTGGCTCGTCGTATTCGTGGAGAGAGAGCCTAAGAACATCTCTACAAAACTCTTGTTTATGGCTTTTTAGTTATAATTCAATCGGCCCTTTTCAGGGCCCCATTTTGTTCGACTGGAATAGACTTTTCAACTGCATCATCGTTCTGAAATAACCTTTACATAAAATACCTGTTAAGCTTTCTACATTTTACAATGTAATAAACTTTCTAATAGCCCATCTACACATTTAAAATAGTATCTGCTTTCGAGGTCTAAAATCTCTGAAAAATCTTCAATGCATACTCGATGCTAAAATTTTATACATGTACAGCAGCAATAGTAATTCTCTTTTTCAATCAGTTTTACTTCCTTCTATAAGTCTGATCAAATTTTTTAAGAAATAAAAAGTTCAGTATATATTCTTTTTAGTATCAGCAGAGAATTTCGTAGCACCATGATTAATTCTGCACATAGAAAACTCGGTTCAACCGGTATCCGTTAAACCAAGTCAGATACATATCGTTTTTTCAAGTAAATCTTACGAATTTACTGCAAATAATCGATTAATACTTTGCGCCAACTATTTGTGATTGCAACTCTGGTCATAAAAATTGAAAATTATACGTAAAAGTTAGAAATATTCGTCTTTTTCTATGAAATGGCCTCCGTTAGTAAGAAGGAAGACCAGCACAAATTCTTCAATAATTTGTAACATGTAATAAGTACAGGCTAAATAGGTTTTATATTCAAAATTACATACATTTTGCTACATATTGGCAAACTTATAACCATTTTCGATGTTATTATTTAAAAGAAAACGAGTAAAAAGGTACGCATTCGTTTCACAGTTTCATGCTTGCATAAAACGATCCAGACGGACAAAATGCGTTGGTCCCTCTCCAAGGTCCGTGCTTTAGGTAGATGTTTATTGTGCGTCGACGGCAGCCATCTTACCTTGGCGGTTAAGCTATCGAGTCATATCGTTGTAATTCGATCGAGAAACAGCTATTTTGCATTGTCCGGTGTTCGTGGAGTTTTACGCAGATTTTTCTGTACTGTGTTAATCTACATTCTGCAGTAAGATGGAAGGCAGAGTATCCAGCAGAAGCGCTGCAGTGGAAGCGGTTAAAAAAAGTGTCGTTTTACCGAAAAATACCGAAAACAGCAAAGCAAAGATGCAACGCGTGAAAGCGTCCCATCCATCAACGGCGGAGATGGTAAAAACGGCTATTAAAGAATTGAAGGACCATAAAGGATCGTCCCTTCAAGCCATTAAGAAGTACGTGACAGCAACGTACAAAATCGATGGTGAAAAGGCGTCTCCGTTCATTAAACGCTATTTGAAAGCAGCGTTAATATCTGGTGCTGTTCTGCAATCGAAAGGCAAAGGTGCATCCGGTTCGTTCAAACTTCCCATCAAAGCCTCTGAAGTTAAAGCTAAAAATCAAGCCATGATCGCAAAGTCTATTCGAAAACCGAATTCGAGAAAGGTAACCAATCTGAAGAAAATGCCTGCTAATAGAAAGAAGCCATCACCGTTGAAGAAAGACGTCAAGCCCGTTTCGGCTGCTAAAATGAAGACCAAAGTGAAACAAATCTCCAAAACCACGAAAACTGTTAAAGTGCTGCCTGCAAAAACTAGGACACCGAAGCCAAAGAAAGCGACGACCATCAAGGCGAAGAAAATTGTCGCCAAGAAGTAATTTCTTAATTGAAGCAAATGAATCAAAATGGCCCTTTTCAGGGCCAACCAATTTTTTTAAACGAGGAAATCTTTGTTCGCATAACATTAAATTTATGTCGTAACCAAAGTCAAATATTATTGCATATAAATGTATTTATTTCTAGATGATGTTGGTTAGTATCTCACTGTTTTTGCTTCCTACTCTGGCTATTTCGTTAGAAGTAATTTTTAATACGATACACGTTTTTGTACCTCTCTGAATACCAATTTACATTTCTGGAATGCGCATAATAATGCCAGTATCCTGCAGAAGCATAGTGGGGGGGGGGGAATCGTCAGCAGTTGCTGGGGGGGGACCCTAAGCGTTCACAGGAACAATAGACCCGCAACATCTGCTAGACCAGCTGGGCCCATAAATTTTTGTAAGTAGTTAGGCCAGTATTGTCATATGGGTCGGGGTTTTTCCCCCATCTACGCATTTCAAAGCAAAAATTCCATTTTATAACTCACGATGAAAAATATAAATTTGAGGTTATGAATTTTCGCTTGCAGATCAAAAGCAGAGAGAAGAAAACGACAAGAGGACGATGAGGGAAAGTTTAATGACACACGACTCTACTTTCTCGTATTAAAACACACAAATTAAGAAACGACTCCTAAAAATCCTAAAAATCGAACACATAACCATAAAATTGAATAGAACAATTACACTACTAGGTATACAAATACTATCCATTAGAAAGATCTAATGCTACATTGTCAATCAAAATCATTGTAATTATTAAATTTCATCTGTACATTTTGAATTAAAAATAATTTAAGGCATGGAAAGGATTTTATTAAAAAAAATAAAACAAATGAGAATTGAGGTTAAAATAGGTAGTTCCTTCGTTTAAAATATTTGTGGCCCTGAAAAGGGCCATTTGTATGATTTGCTTAATAATTAAGCTTTCTTCTCGGTTTTCTTCGGCAATAAAACCGCTTGAATGTTGGGTAAGACACCACCTTGAGCAATGGTTACACCAGAGAGCAGTTTGTTCAACTCCTCGTCATTACGGATGGCAAGTTGAAGATGTCTGGGAATGATTCTGGTTTTCTTGTTGTCACGGGCAGCATTACCAGCCAACTCCAGTACTTCAGCTGCCAGATATTCCATAACGGCGGCAAGATATACTGGTGCTCCTGCACCAACACGTTCAGCGTAATTTCCTTTCCTCAGAAGTCTGTGGATACGACCAACGGGGAACTGAAGACCAGCCCTGTTGGAGCGAGACTTTGACTTTCCCTTCGCTTTTCCACCTTTTCCACGTCCAGACATGTTTTAAGCAACTTAGACAATCGATTAAGCAAATTTACTATAACAGAGCTCTCGCAGATGTTTCAGTAAACTACTGCTCTTGCAGGAACGTGCTTCGCTTATATAGTGGGGGAGCGCTGCATCGAGCGCCCAATGGCGTTGCAGGACGTACGTGATTGGAGCGCTGGTACAACGCGTTCGTCGCCACGGAAGGGAGTTTATCGGTGTCACATAATTGAAACAAAGTTATAATAGACAATTTTCGAGATCGAGATCGAGATAGATCGCGAGTCAATCGTGGGTCGAGACAAATTCCTTATTCCAGCTTAAATAATTCTTGTTTCGTTTAAGTAACTGAAAGTATAAAACTGTACTAGAAATCCTGCGTTAAATGTGCAGGAAAACAATACTAAAGACTATTAACAAAGTTTGAATACACCCAATATTTCCAAAGGCTCACATCCGGCAAGTTGTAGCCTACGCCACTCCTTACATAGCTCCTAGGATCTAAAGAACTATAGAAATAATAGTTTTCTCAGGCTTCTATGCAAGATTTATTAAAAAAACCATATTTTTTTGCTTAATAGAAATATTATTCATAACAAACAAGCTTACTTCCGCTCAGGAATACTAAATATTATCAGAACACCTACCAACTCGAAAATACAGACTCCTTAATTGCCAACCTAAGCAATTGTAACCCCACATAGAATAACCAGATCTATCTTATACCAAATATCATTGGCCAACAACAAGGATAACTTTATAAGAAGTTTTAAAGACGTTAAAAATTAAATATATGGAAATAAACTGTTTAAAAAATTAGAAACTTAATGTTTCTTAAAAATAGCCAATTTTTTTTAGTTTTGTATATTGTTTTAACTAACATAACCTAACAGAAAGGAGAAAGAAAAGAGACGAAATAGAGGGAAAATTGAAAATAGAATATATTTACAGAAAGTTAGTAGAAGCATGTAAGCGATAAAGTGAAGAGGCCCCCCTGGGCCCAGGTAGGAATGGTCTGGGGCCCCCGTGGAGGGTTTGGAAGAAAACAAAGAAGCCTTTTACGACTCCCGGTCGTCGAGGGTTTCTCCAGAATGACCTGGCTCGCACGAAACTCTCGATAGAACGGAAAAACAGAAGCTTGAAGTTACCCTTGCACGCATTCCAATGCCAAGAGCGTAGTGACGATACTATGGCTGTCACACTATAGTCAAATCCAGGAAAAAATTTGTTCTCATATGAATCGATCGTACGAAACTACGATTAAAGATTTCAAAACAGTTTTAATTTAAGCACAATGAGGTACAAACTAATTTAATCGATACGACGGAAATAATTATTATTAATTTTTCTTTCTCTGTATCGTAGATTTTTCTTACACATCGTCTCTCTTGTTATCACAGAGTTTTGTAACGATTAAACGAAAGCAAATATTGTATTACGCATAAAAATCTGCTGTGACTGTGAGAAATTCATAGAAATTACATTTTAAGAGTTTAACGCATTCACGATAATTGATTATAATCCAACGACAGAACGTTAGGTAGTTTAAATCGCACATCACTAGTCGGTGAAATGTAAACCGAGTTTCTCACGCATCTGGCACAAAGATCGACCAAACGATACATTGCAAATCAGAATCGGTTCCTTTTACGCAATTTTGTATACAATTGACCTACAAATTTCGTACGAAATATATAGATTTTTAACTTTTTTTACGCGATGTACTATCGTCACGAAAATACGGACGCTACTTTCTACCGCGATATATCGTCTTCAAGGCATTGTACGGTTAAAAATCGATGGACAATTAAATCTGCACACACGTAGCTTTATTTTCGTGCATCGCTTATTCGTTAATACGTATTCGGTAAGAAGAAACGTTCTTCGAAAGCGAAGATTCGTTTACTGCTTGGTTGGGGACGCAGAATCGCCGCGTCCGACATATTGGGTGAGTCCCTCTCCACGGTCCGTGCTCGAGAAAGAACCTAACCGTTAAACAAAAGTACATTCATTCCAGCAACCTCGTTCGCGCCGATCGAGACGCTCCTGCGCTATTTTTCATTGTAAACTTTTTGAGATTGTTTGCTTTATTTGTTCGTATAAAAGATGGAAGACAAAGCTGGTTCCGGTAATGCCGCGGTCGAGAGCGGCGAGAGCAACACGCCGATGCTAGTAAAGAAGCCACCGAAAACTAAGACGAGATCGCAGCGTGTAAAGTCGTCTCATCCACCAACATCGGAGATGGTGACAGCCGCCATCAAGGAATTGAAGGACCGTAAAGGTTCGTCGCTTCAAGCCATCAAGAAGTACATCTCCTCGACGTACAAGGTCGACGGAGAGAAATTCGCTCCGTTCATCAAGAAATACTTGAAATCTGCTGTGACGGCCGGCACTGTTGTGCAGACGAAGGGCAAGGGAGCTTCTGGCTCGTTCAAGCTCTCCACCGGGAAACCGGAGACATCCAAGACGAAGAAGGAGATCCGCTCGCCGAGAAAAGTCGAACCGAAAAAGGCGCAGTCGGTCGAGAAGAAGACCGTGGCGAAGAAGACCGCTGCCTCGGTGAAAAAATCACCGGCGAAGAAACCCGCTGAGAAAAAGGCCGTTGCTGTGAAGAAGACCGCGGCGAAGGCTGCCGCCACGAAAGCCAAAGCCGCCACCGAGGCCAAGAGCATGTCGAAGTCCAGAAAGACCGCCAAAGCTCCAGCAGCGAAGACCAGAACGCCCAAACCGAAAAAGGCCGCTGCATCGAAATCCGTCAAATCACCAGCGAAGAAATAATTGCTTTTCTTCGACGAAAACATATCAAATGCAAACAACAAAATGGCCCTTTTCAGGGCCACCACATTTTCAAAACGTTGAACTACTACTGTCTCTCCTTCCACATGAAAAAAAACATATTCCCTTCTATGGAAAAAAGATTTCAATTTTTTTTAGGTTATGCGATGACAAATTTTTATTTTCTATACATTTCCTTCCATATGAGAAAAATATATTCCCTTTTATAGAAAAGATTTCAATTTTTTTAGGTTATTCGACGACAAATTTTGATTTTCAATACGTTGAAAATTTAACTTGGGCGAATAAAATGCATGCTAGGGTAATGCTTCGTGCATCTGTTTTTCATTTCTGTTTTCCCAGGGTCTCGTGCGAGGCTGGTAGTTAAACACTTGGCGACCAGAAGCCGTACAAGGCTTCTTTGTTTTCTTTTAAGGCCTCGAACCATTTCTAGCTGGGCCCAGCGGGGAGCTCTTCACTTTATTACCTACTTCCGTTCTCACTGACTTTCTCTCTAAACGTTTCCATTTTCAATTTTCCGTCTGTTCTCTGTCATTTTCGTACGCGTGGAACTTAACCTACAATAAAATATATCTTTATGCGTAGATCTGGATTGTATATTTACTTATTTCACAATCTACGATCCCCTCGATTTACTAGATTAAAAATAAAATTACGTAATGCTCGTTTGAAGCAAAGTATTAGACATTCGATTATTTATATTACAATTTCGATGTTATAGGTTATATAATTAAAATACTTCAATACTTAATCGTACAAATACATAAGTCTTTATTACAAGCTTGAAAATACATCAGAGTTTTCTAAACTGTACTCTTATCTTTTGTATAATAACCGAGTTCGTATAACCTATGATTAAAACGGAAATTCTAGATATATATACCGTTACTCAATATGATTTTTGTACCATTACGAAACGGTTTGGAAATTTAACAATTTAAAATAAAGGAATGTACAAATCTGAAACTACATAGATATAAAAAAATTGTATTCTCCTCTAAAGTATAATTTTACCCATAAAGTTAATATCTTTTACCGGTTATTATCTTTCCTTAACATTTAAGAGATAAACTTCGTGTATTGACATATTAAACATTATCATCAGACAGACGTGCTTTTAGTAGAGAAAAAATTGTTACTTTACTGCGTATATCTTTCTAAAAACGCTTTATCGATCAAAGTATGTGCATCTGACGTATTGGTGTCTAAAATGTCGATATTACAAGTTAGTGGCAATAAAGCTATTTCCTAGGTGCAAGGTTTTGTGGCTTTGAATGCTTAATTTGCACTGCAACGGGCGACGCCAGCTTTACGGCCGAATGCGGCCAGATGGCTGAAAACACACGGTCGAACGTGATTGGCGCGCTGCCGTTGGGCTCCCCTACCATATAAGCAGGCGCGTTTCGGTGCAAGAATCATTCTACCTGCATCAGTCGAGCAGTTCAGAGTTCTTACGAGTGTTTGAAAAAGAAGTTCTTCGAAGCCATGCCACCCAAAGCGAGCGGAAAAGCTGTGAAGAAGGCCGGTAAGGCGCAGAAGAATATCAGCAAGACCGACAAGAAGAAGCGAAGGAAGAGGAAGGAGAGCTACGCTATCTATATCTACAAAGTGTTGAAGCAAGTACATCCCGACACTGGAATCTCCAGCAAGGCCATGAGCATCATGAACAGTTTTGTAAATGATGTCTTTGAGCGTATCGCCGCCGAAGCTTCCCGCTTGGCACATTACAACAAGAGATCCACGATCACCTCTCGGGAGATCCAGACCGCTGTCCGACTTTTACTGCCCGGAGAATTGGCCAAGCACGCTGTTTCCGAAGGCACCAAGGCAGTCACCAAGTACACCAGCTCGAAGTAAACGCTTTGGCGTTGTTGCAATAATCGGCCCTTTTTAGGGCCAACAATTTTCTCAAAACGTGGTTAACATTCTTGTTCTAAAACATTGCAAAGCAAGAAGCTTACAAATGTGAAATTATTCGGGAGAAATTCTGTTGCTTTTTAGTTCAGAAATCATCTTTTACGGAACCTGAAAGATAGAACATAGTTATTGCGATTTTCCTGTGTGACCTTTTCCCACTTTTCCTGCATTAAATAAATTTCTTTGATGTATAGCAAAGTTTAGTTATGAGTAAAAGGTCTTTTATGGAGGAAAGGATCTATCGACCGAAATAAATGATCGTTAAAGCAATTGGAGACGGTTAATTGATTTTTGCCAACGTCTGTTGCGCAGTGTGCGGTCTGGCGTTGCCCTAGTGGAAGGAAATTCGGCTCGTATCGATCCCTTTCCTAGTAAATTTTCGTTGAACTTTTGAGTTCAACCACCATTATTTGGAAAGTATGAAAGTTACACGTCAGCTTCTCTTAGATTCTATAGAGCTGTCTATGATATTTAATTTAGGACGCAGGCGTTCCGAAAACTTTCTTTTTTATGGTTTGACTGCCATATTTAAACGTCGCATATTCTACAGGTCTTAACGATTATCGATGATCCGCTGGTCACTGTACAAATAGTTAACGGTTTCCGCCACTGTATTATATAATTTAATACGTTACGCTTTTCTAAAACACCTATCATGAATAAAAAAAATTCTAAGCCTTACTAACATTAGAAATACTGTAAAATAATAGATATACCTATTGAAAATATCAAATATTTATAATTTTCTATAAGAACAATTCACTCAATAGATTGTTGTTCGAGAAAATTTTGTAAAGTCTCGTTAACATTATTAAAATGAAGCTTTTTGTATACTGAAAGAATCATTTCAATTTTTCTCTTCTCCAAAACGTAACTATCTTTCAAGGAAAATTATTATATATAGTTTTATTTCTCTTCCTATATAATTTATTTAAAATAGCCATTTTTATATTTCCGTTTGTGTATTAGACTGTGTTATTAATATACCCTACGACGTGTTCGTTTCTTGGTTCGTCTTTTGTTAACAAAATCTACAATGCCGTCTGCTTTCTTCCGAGCACCCTTTACCGTTTTCGACCGTTTTCACGTTCAGGTCAAGTTTTTCTAGTTTGCGATTTGGCGGTTTACAATGGGGCTTTGTGCTGGCACGCAGCTGGGGAGTTTTCGACCGTGCACGCGGTCGAAAAATTTTTTGCCCTACCATAAATATCGCCGAACAATGAGACGAGGCGCGGGCTGCAACAGCGCACAGCGGTAAGCGTTACGTGGCTTCTGGTTGGCCGAGGGAGAAGGGAGGGGGAACTGCAGCGGAGGTGGTATAAAAAGGCGCCGTTCTCCGGGCAAGTCATCATTCGCTTCGTGCATTCTGAGCATTCATAACCTAACAGTTCTCTTACGTCTTGCATCATGACTGGTCGTGGAAAGGGAGGAAAGGGATTGGGAAAGGGAGGTGCAAAGCGTCACAGGAAGGTTCTTCGTGATAACATCCAGGGTATCACCAAGCCAGCTATTCGTCGTTTGGCTCGTCGAGGCGGTGTCAAGCGTATTTCTGGCCTGATCTACGAAGAAACTCGTGGTGTCTTGAAGGTATTTCTTGAGAACGTTATTCGTGATGCTGTAACGTACACCGAGCACGCTAAGAGGAAGACTGTGACTGCTATGGACGTCGTGTACGCATTGAAACGTCAAGGAAGAACCCTTTATGGTTTCGGCGGTTAAATGTATCGATAGAGCATACATGCAAAAAAACGGCCCTTTCCAGGTCCACCAGACTTCTCACAGGGAATCAAAAACGGCCCTTTTCAGGGCCACCAAATTTTTTAACAAGGAATTTCTGTTCAACAGCTACCAAACTATTATTTTACCTTATATGATCCTCAATTTTACCTAATAAAGTTGTTAAACTAAGTGTACTGAACATGTACAGTTTAATACTGATTTTTGTATTACGGCGTAATTTTCTGAATTTAATTTTATTTTTTTAATTATGTTATATACACATATTTGATTCGTATTGTGTGCTATAATCCTATAAAGATCAAAATTATTCGTATATTATTCGTAATTTCGTATTACGGCGTAATTTTCTAATTTGATCTGAATTTAATTTCAATTTTCATACTAACAGACACGTATTTGATTCGTGCATCGTATAAACTACCTACGTGGTCAAAATGAGTCATTCGTAATTTCCAATTATAATATTCGTTAAATATTGTATTTCCAATACAACTTCTAACAAACTTATTCGACTGGATTTTTGAAAATAGACCTTAATTTTCTATAATAGAATGAATAAACATTTCTTTCAATTACATTATACATTTCTCCGAATATCTACCGTTTTGATTTCTTTTGTACAAACAAATACACCATAATTGTCGGTAGTTCTAAGGTTAATTTATAATATGCGTATTCGCAATCTCTTTGAGGCTTCCTTTTTTACACAAAAAATTGTGTGCCTAAAACTAGAAAGAAATTCAGACGAAATACAGGTTACATAACCTAACTTTCATGCCTGCTGCCTCGGTCTCGTACTACACACGAGACTTGAAGCGAAATTAATTGAAATCGATATGTTAGAATATCACAGCAGTCTATAATAGTAGTATAATGGTAATATAATGGATTAAGAGTTCCTTAATTGATGTGAATGATACTATAATAAGTTTATTAAAGAAATACAATTAGAACAAAGAGTTCACTCGTTAAAAAATTTGTTGGCCCTGAAAAGGGCCGATTGTGTTGCCAAACGTATAAAACGTTTAACCGCCGAAACCATAAAGGGTTCTTCCTTGACGTTTCAAAGCATACACGACATCCATAGCAGTCACAGTCTTCCTCTTAGCGTGCTCGGTGTACGTAACAGCATCACGGATAACGTTCTCAAGGAATACCTTCAAGACACCACGAGTTTCTTCGTAGATCAGGCCAGAAATACGCTTGACACCGCCACGACGAGCCAAACGACGAATAGCTGGCTTGGTAATACCCTGGATGTTATCACGAAGAACCTTCCTGTGACGCTTTGCACCTCCTTTTCCCAATCCCTTTCCTCCCTTTCCACGACCAGTCATGATGCAAGACGTAAGAGAACTGTTAGGTTATGAATGCTCAAAATGCACGGAACGAATGTAGTTTAGGGGGGAAAACGGTCTCTTTTTATACCACCTCCGATGCAGTCCCCCACTTTCTCCTCCTTCGGCCAATCAGAAGCCTCGTACGCTGACCCTACGGCCATAAAAGCCAGATGTTTTCCTGCGTAGAACGCATTTTGTGTTTAATCTGTTACACGTTGTGATCGCTGTTGTAATGGCTCGCACCAAGCAAACTGCTCGAAAATCTACCGGTGGAAAGGCTCCACGGAAACAGTTGGCGACCAAGGCTGCTCGCAAGAGTGCACCGGCCACTGGCGGCGTGAAGAAACCTCATCGTTACAGGCCTGGAACCGTTGCTCTTCGTGAAATCCGAAGATACCAGAAGAGCACGGAACTTCTGATCCGTAAATTACCGTTCCAACGTCTGGTTCGTGAGATTGCTCAAGACTTCAAGACCGACCTTCGATTCCAAAGCTCCGCCGTCATGGCTTTGCAAGAAGCCAGCGAAGCTTATCTCGTCGGTTTGTTCGAAGATACCAACCTCTGCGCAATTCACGCCAAACGTGTGACCATCATGCCCAAGGACATCCAGCTGGCTCGTCGTATTCGTGGAGAAAGAGCTTAAATCTTTTTTTCCCAAAAAAAATCGGCCCTTTTCAGGGCCCAAATTGTTAGGCGTGGTGCTAAATTTCTTGTTCAACTTGTACGTTTTATAAAAACTACATAATTCAGAACAGTTTTTCAGCAGTTTGATAAAAAACTAAATATTTATCAACAAAATAAGACATCTGTAATGCATGTTGCCCTTTAGTTTAGTGCCCTTTGAAAAAAGGAACGCCTTTGTCGAGTCCAACGTATTTTACAGCGTAGATTGTACTTTTTATCGCCGGGAACCGAAGCCATAAACATGTCGTCAAGATTTAGGTTGTGGTTTCGAGGTGACGACAAAGTAACCGACGCTTTGTTGCTGAAAGCATGAATTTTTTCCACCAGAAGTCTGGAATATACATATTTTGGAAACTTCTCTAGTTAAAAGTACGTTAATATACGTAACATTATTCATCCATCCATGTTGGATGCAATACCAACAACTTTGCCGCCTTTTCAGGCATGTGCTCTTGCAGGAAATCATCTCCATATACTACCAAACTCAAGTGAAAAATTAATATTATTAGGTAAACGAATAAAGAAAACTGTTGAAAATCTCATGTATATATAAATAATACAATATTATTACCATTGAAAAAAGAAGAAAATCATCTAGATACGCATTATTTTATCGAACTTCGATGTCTATAATTTTGACTACGTAGGGACGCCATTTTTGTGAATCCAACATGGCCGACAAGCAACAAGATGGTTGCCCCGGTAATTTCGGTGTTTGAGGTTCATTGACCGTGAAACATAACTCTAATGGAACACTACTACGAATGACGTTAATTAAATAAACATCAACAGACGCCCCATTTACTTCGTCCATCAATTTTCATAAATCAGGTAAGAAATTCCAATCGAAAGTCGTGGTAGCAAACTTTTGCTTTAGATTTACCGGTTACGGTTATGTTGCTCGATATGTTATTCTCCTATACATTATTAATAAATTTTATAGTTCATAGATTTTAAAACAATACGTAAAAATTTGTTCTCTATTCCTTTAAGACGAAAACGAGTCGTAGATTTTATTACATTAAAGACTATTTCTGTTGCAAGTAATTCTTCGACATGTCGGACGACGAGGACTTGGTTTACGTCAAGAAGCAGAAAACTGTGCATTATGGATCGCTGGAGGAGGCAGAACGTGCAAGGCTGGCAGCAGCTGCGGAGTCATCGGAAGAGGAGAAAGACTCCACAAATTTGGGAGACAATGTCAACGTTGCTGCCACTCTGGGGAATGTACACATATCGAACGAGTACATGGAGCTCGAAGATGAGATGTCCAAAGACAGACAAGCTCTCTTAGAAGAATTCGAACGCAGAAAGAAAGCTCGCCAAATTAACGTATCTACTGATGATTCTGAAGTAAAAAAGAATTTGAGACAATTAGGAGAACCTATTTGTCTGTTCGGCGAAGGACCCGCGGACAGAAGAACAAGATTGAGAGAGTTGCTAGCTAGTCTGGGGGAAGATGCGATAAAAAAGAAGCACGACGAAGATGAGAAACCTTCTCATGCTATAGAAAGAGATACGGAAGCAACTTGGTATCACGAAGGACCAGAATCCCTCCAAATAGCTCGTTCTTGGATTGCAAGTAAGCATTGAACATATTATTAACTTTCTCTATTCTAATTTTATTTATACATTTTGTACATTATATTTTACAGCGTACTCGTTACCTAGAGCAAAGGCTAGATTGGAAAAAGCGAGACAGGATCTGGAGCTACCAACAGCCACTCGTACAGCACGTCGCCAAGAACTCCTGAAGAAATTGCAAGCGCTAACGATTTACTGTTCTCAAATCGGCGATACCCGACCAATTTCCTTCTGTCAATTTAGTCCGAATTCCAAGATGTTTGCTACAGCTTCATGGTCAGGCTTGTGCAAAATATGGTCTGTACCTGACTGTACTTTGTTGCGAACGCTTAAAGGACATACTTGTAATGTTGGCTGCATTGTTTTTCATCCAAAAGCTACTATTACCGAAGAGGTGATAGGGGAGAAATCAGGACAGACTTGTATATTGGCATCTTGTGCTGCAGATGGTACACGAATGTCCTTTTCCATATTTATAACAGGGAATTAGAACAAAATAATAAGTAAAATACATGAATTATTGCCCCCTCGGTCTATAAACAGGGACAGTGAAATTGTGGAGCGGTGGATCTGGGGAAGAACCGCTAGCTGAAGTCGAGGGCCACGAGCCGCATAGAGTTTCGAGGTTAGCTTTTCATCCGTCCGGTCGATTTCTCGGGACTTGTTGCCACGATGCGTCTTGGAGGCTTTGGGACTTGGAACAGCAAGCAGAGGTTCTTCATCAAGAGGGTCACGCGAGAGCTGTGCACTGCATCAGGTACGTACCACACTTAATTCAACGTGATAATGTGTAAATCGGTGTGAATTTTCAGCTTTCAGTGCGACGGTAGCGTGAGCGCCACAGGTGGTCACGACTCCTTTGGCAGAGTGTGGGATCTTCGCACAGGGAGGTGCATTATGTTCATGGAGGGTCATTTAAAGTCTATCTTCGGTATCGATTTCTCCCCCAACGGGTTTCACATAGCCACAGCCAGCGAGGACAACACGTGCAAGATATGGGACTTGCGAAAGAGGTCTTGCGTGTACACGATACCCGCGCACACGAATTTACTGTCGGACGTGAAGTATCAGAGGCTCGAGGGACAGTATCTGGTCACCGCCTCGTACGACAGCACTGCCAAAATATGGTCGAACAAAACCTGGCAACCCTTAAAAACGTTACCTGGTCACGACGGGAAGGTCATGTCCGTCGATATTTCCCCGGACCATAAATTCATCGGGACTAGTTCTTACGACAGAACTTTTAAACTATGGGCTCCCGAAAATATATAAAAAGACTTTGTCGAATAAAACGTGGAGCACGGTTCGAGGAGCATATCTACGCAACGCTATTTTCGTGATTGTTCGTGGAGGAAACTTCGCCCTTTGTAATATAGAAAGAATGAACGAAGATATATACTTTATTACCTGTCCCTTTATAAGTTTTAATACATCAACGATTGTTATAAGTTTGATTTATTAGTTTTAATTTCTGAATGTTTAGAACACTATGTCGTGCCTTCAATGGTTAAAATTGGACTTTGTACTAACACCATCCGACTGTAGTTTCATTTCTGAGAAATCTAATTGCATTTACTTGATCGCGAAAACTATTATTACGCGTTAATAATCAGAATTAATTCCAAAATACAAACGAAGCGTTTACTTGCATTAAACGGTTCTTTGCATTGTCGTTAACAAAGCATTTAAAATTTTTGCAATGGACAAGTTGTTCAGAAGATTGGACGACTAAGTTTGAACAGAAGAGGTCCTCCTGTGGTTCTACTTTATTAACAAACAAAAAGTTCTCCCGACAATCGGGTAGGTGTCTCTCCATGTTTCATATTCAAAATACAATCAATAATTAACTAAATTCCTTAATTTCTCTTTAAGGAGGAAGAAAAACCTAGAGCAAGAAAATTAATGAAAATTTAGTGATTTTCATTTACCTCAAGATAGAATTATTTTTTGGTTCGTTCATAACAGGAAGTAGACATTAGTACAAGAGAGTTGAAAGTGTAATATCCTCGTTGGATTTTTCTATAAAAATAAGTTAATCGAGCCTGACGACGAAGTACCATTTTGTCAACACTTTAATGGCCGCACGTATCACGGGAAGACCACGAAGATGCTAGGAATCATAAATGTAACATCAACAAACTTAATAAGTTGAATGTATGATGAAATTGTGACTGATACAGTAGATCACGTATACGTGACATCGGCCGTCAAAGTGTTAACAATAGCGTATATCTATTTTATAAGATTCTTAACGATCCGCGAGCATCTAACGACGAACGATCGAAGGCTGGAGAGAGGATCTAGGCGATGTCTCTCCGTCGGTGCTCCCCGGTACAGAATCCTCGTTGTCGCGGCGGCAAAGATACCGACATCCTCTGTGTTACCCGACTGGACGAGATCGATTCATGCGGACTCGTTCAGCGGCAAGGATTGATGGAGCCAAACTCTGCTGCCACCCTCGGCGAAATCTGCAGCTGCGTGCCCGTCGCCTTGCAATACCCATTTGGTGGTCAGCAGACCATCCACTCCCACTGGTCCCCGCGCGTGTATCCTCGCCGTGGAAATTCCGACCTTACGAAACAATGCAACCCCATAAATATCTGTGTACACCTTGCAGGGAATGTGCAACGACTCACCTCCGCTCCAAGACCGAATCTGTATCCATCAGCGAACCGCGTACTGGCATTGTGAAACACGCACGCACTGTCCACCTCTCTCTGAAAATGACTGGCTCTTCTGTCGTTCTCCGTAACGATCACGTCTGTGTGCCCGCTACCGTACTTATGAATATGATTTATCGCATCGTCCAGGTCCGTTACAACCTCGATGGTGCACTCCAGGGCGCCGTACTCCGTCCTCATGCTCTTCGCCGCCGGTGGACCAAACGTCAACAGCTGCCTCAGCTTTGGCCCGGAATTGATCTTCACCTAAAACGTCATCAAAGATAAAAGCTTAAAAACTAGGATTTGTAATGTTACTATTAGTACTATGACTATACAAAGAACTCACTCCTTCCTTTTGCAGCATATTGCACACGTCGGTGAAGAAGTTGTTCTTCATATGACACTCGTGGATCAGAAGAGTCTCCATAGCGTTGCAAGCGGCAGGATAATCGCATTTCGAGTCCCTGATGATCTTCAGAGCCTTCGCTATGTCCGCCTCCTTGTCCACGTAGACGTGGCAGATACCCTCCGCGTGGCCCAGCACCGGGATGTGCTTCGATTGCTCCTGTATAGAACGAACTAGGTCGGAACTGCCTCGCGGAATGATGAGATCTATGTGCTTCTCCATCGACAACAGGTCACCGACGTCTTCCCTCGTCGAGACCAGGGATATCGCGTTGGAGGCTCCCACGGTGTTCAGCGCCTCCTTCACGAGCTCCATTAAATACTTATTGCTATTGACGGCTTCCTTGCCACCCTTTAACAGAAGCCCGTTGGCGCTGGACATCGCTAGGGCTGCCACCTGGGGCAGACTGTCGGGCCTCGATTCGAAGATCACCAGCAACACTCCGATCGGGACGGTGATCTGCTTCAACTCCAAACCGTCCGCCAGCTTGGTCCTCCTGATCACGCGGCCCACGTTCGTCAGAGAGTCGTCAGCGATCTGCCTCAACCCGGAGCTCAGGGATTTCAGTTTCGCGGGCGTCAGCGACAGACGGGACAACAGCGGTTTCGCCAGGCCGTTCTTCTGCGCGTCCTCCATATCTTTCGCGTTCGCCTCCAAGATCCCCGTCTGGCGGGTCTCCAGAAGATCAGCCAAGGCGTTTATGCAACTTGCACGCTCCTCCGGCCGGAGAGCCTGAAGAGCTCTGCTGCCGATTCGAGCTGGAAATTCCATTATCTTTTTATTCGAATGGATCCCCTTATAGTTATAGTCGCGTTTGAGATATTCTCAATAAGCCCTAACGGAAGTTTCGACGGAGTCTCTGGTTCTCAATAGCCGTTGTAGCGAACTTGTTTGAATTAAACACGGTTCCCGAATAATGCGACACGTTCTATATCTTGGGGGAGCGGTACGTGTCGCGGATAATTGTACAATGACCGCGATACAGCGACCGCAAGCCGTTTCGTTTCTACCTTCGATAATCGATAACCTATATTGCTATGGTCGGTAGAACAAAATGACGCGAGTGACCCCTCCACGAAAAAAAATATTGCGTTTCAACCGATAATAGTCTTCGCGACGACGATTCTTTTCTAACGAAAACTTCTATTCCGTTGGATTTCCATAATTAAACGAAGTAAGGGGTAGTTTCGAATTACCGTTTTCTGCAACGACCTCGATGGGCGTGGTAAAGCCAGTCGTTTCGGTGAACAGTGTGCCGATCTTCCTCCCGGACAGGATGCTCTTTATAGCTTTTTCTTGGGTTCCGTTGCAGATCACGACCGAGACACCTCGATCTAGGGCCCAGAGAGCTGCGTTCACCTTGGCGTCCATGCCACCGGTGCCCACTTTCGACTTCTTCCCGAATTGTATGGTGCCCCTCAGATCGGAGCTGAAGGTGTGCAGCATCTTCGCCCCATCTAGCCAAGGTGGCAGGTTGTAGATCCCGTCCACGTCGCTCATCAGGATCAGCAGATCGGCCTGGACCTCTGCCGCCAACATGGCCGCCAACGAGTCGTTGTCCTTCAAGGAAATGCCTCGTCTTCCACCGCCACCGGCTACCTCCTCGTCCACGTGGGGCGGCGGTGAGACAGCGTCGTTTGTGTTGATGATGGGCACGATGTTCAAGCTGATCAGCTCGCTCAGAGTGCTAAACAGGTTCTTCTTAGTCTCCTCGTTGTAGAAATCGGGCTTGGTCACCAGGACTTGCGCCAACTTGACACCGTACTGGGCGAACATAGCGTCGTACAGTGACATCAGGCCCGACTGACCCACCGCGGCTGCTGCTCTAGGTTCCAAAAGAGTGCCTGCGTGAAGACGAGACCAATGTTACCGTACCACCCTCCTCCACTGTATTGTGAGGATGGATATGTGGTCAGTAGGTCATGAGGTGGGTGATGCGTTGTCGGGCTAGCAATTTTTGCTCAGCTATTCAACCCTTTCCAACGGTACCAGTATAAATTTGTGTACTATTGCTGTGATGGAACGTTGGAAAGGGTTGAAGCAACTGATTCAACAAGATTTAATTTTAATTTTCTCTTGGTAGTTCCGTTGCGACGGTGGCACGCGTGGAAACGTCGATAACGACTGCAAGCGTATCCCAGGGAGTAATAAGAAACAGGACTGCAGTATTTTCACAACAATTTCTGTCTATCGTCGTTCGATTCTTGCCTCCCGAAAGGAGAATTACCGCGAATGTTTTCCCGGGCAAATAGAATCTCGGGGGAATTGCTGGGTAAAAGAATTGGGCGGCTCGCGGTTGTTGGTTTAACCTACATGGAAGGGCCGGACATTGTCAAGTTGCCGAGGAGTTCGCGGAGTACCTCGGGGACGTTCCGATGCTTCCCTCCTGTACATTTTAGCCTTCAAAGAGAATGTGGTCGCACTTAAATTTATGACCATTTGTGTATCGATTTCTTTTACTTCTGGGGAAAAGAGAACAATCCCCTGTCAATGCACCCGGCTAGCAATGGAACGGAACCGTGGAAAACGGTCTTTGATGCGCGCTGCAGAGGGACTACGACGTCTACAGCTGAGCAAAACTTGTATCTCGATGATTATGATTGTTATGTATGAGTGTAGATATAAGCACTATCCAGAGATGACTTGTTGACTAGGCACTTACAAGCTAAAGGGGGCAAGGGCAAGGAGAGAAGCTCTATGCCCCGCCTTACTCCCACCATGGAGGCTACATAGCTGTAGAGTCTCCATTGATAGGCAGGGTTTGTTCCATTCGTGGCTAGTATTTTGAGATTATGGGTACGCCAATGCCTCCCAGTCTTCTCCTACCCTACTCTGACTAGTTGTGAGTGACTCAGTCAATGATGACAATGCATATGAGAGCAGATGTCGCTATTACACTAAGGTCAATTGCTGTGCCTAGCTCACCAAGTCATCACTGCATAGTATTTGCCTTTTAAAGTATGGTCAACTAACGAGCTAGGTGAATGTCCTTTTGTACCATAATTGTTTTTATACCTGCGTGTTCTCTGGTGTGATCAGCAGGGCTCAGGGTCTCCCTCATCGACAGAGACATCAGCAGCTCTTGCGTGAGCTTCTGTTTGCCGAACGCAACCGCCCCGCTGGTCACCATAATGCATTCGCGACCTTCGTTCTGGCATTCTGCTACCTGCTCGACGATGGACGCCAAACGACCCAACGCCAGTCCATGCTCATCCTCTCTGGTGATAACAGCGCTGCCCAACTTCACCACCAAACGACGCGCGTACTTCAGCTGGCTGCGATCGCTGAAGGTCGTGCCTCTCAAAGAGTTATCCGCCGATTGGAGCTCCCTTCTCAAGTCCACTCGATTTCCCTTAAAATGCAATTACCGTTTCACGAGGATCCCCCCATTTCGAAAACTCGAGTGGCTCGGGTCATTCGAACAATTGTGACATAATCTACAATTCGATATCGCAATTAGAAATATCTTAACACGTGTAATTGTCCGTTATCGTCCACTCTGTTCGAGAACAGTCGCCAGTGAATTAATTCTTGCTCTCTCATTCACGCCTGGCGTGACACTTCGGTATTAGCATATCTGCGACTCGTGATCAAAATGGCGGATGACGTTTCTCAAACACGGAACGCGGGACAGTGGTTAAAAGCCGACGTAGACGAGGCTGGAAGCCCGCCTCTCTGTGTTTATATGCAATCGATCGTTTCGAATCGCAATTTGCGTCGACGAGCACCTAGAATGTTTGTATCTCGACGTGTAATGAAACGAAACCGAGAGAAACTCTCGTTTCACGAGTCCTCGACAGCGTTAACAGTCCAGCGACCTTCTCCGTAAGCTTCTCGTAATCACTGCCACGCGTATCTACGATCGTATAGAGTCTCCAGGCGTTATCTTTGTGCAGCACTCGAATTAAGAATGAACAAATTTACCCGGGGCGAATTCACGGTTCGATTGCCACTCGACACAGTTTCACGCGTTACACGTGCGATTTCTTCCCCGGTAATCTGGTTACATAAAAATCTGTCGAAGACAAAGGGAACCAAAGAGCTTCCATTCGAGTTTTCATGTATGAATGAACGACATTTCGTACCTATTATCGCGATCGGAAAGAACACGCGAGGCTGCTCGAATTTTTCGATCCATAAATCGTTTTCGTATCGAATCCCAGCGGTTCCACGAACGCGGAAATTACCAATTGCGCGTTACAAATCGTATCGCGAGGCCGTTATCTGTATACCAAGCCTTAGTCTCTATCGTCTTAACAACCTAATTGTACCTCTCGATGCGACTGTCCTGCAATAATCGAGAACAATTTAACGCGAATTAATGTGACGATGTTATCGATAAGACGTGATCTTTATTTAGTATTATGAGGTGTTGAGCACGTGTTCCGTTCGTGTGGACTTTCCGCGAACGATGGAACTTAAGACGTTGCTCCTCCGTCTTCGTCTTCGTAATCGTTTTCGGGGCTTGTTTATCATTTTTCCGTGGCCGCGGCTCGAAAGCAGAGATAAACGGAGTGTTTTCGACGCATCGATTACGCCTCTGGAGGCGATTGGGCCTCGCGTTCACCGCGAATTTCGTTCCCGGGAGCGTAATATTCCACGACCGGGACCGTGGAAAATGTTTTCGATGTAATCGTGTGACGCGTAGTTGCGCGACACGCGGCGGAAAATGGCGTGCGACCGAACCGTATTTATTTCGTTCGCGTATACGTGCCCGGGCGATATCAGTTGCGTTATGTGTTCGTGATAACGTTACGTTCATTGCTGGCCAGCTAATTAAACCGGCGATCCGCGGAAACAAATGTCGCGTTTTGCGTGCGAGACTAGCGTTGCCTTGTGATCTTCAAAAATTGTACAGCGAGGGGTAGATGTTTAATGGGGGATTCTGGGGGTTCAAATGGGACGAGAATCGAGAATAGTAATTTTTTGAGGCTTTGTTGACGAATTATTAACGTTTAAAATTCTGTCTGTAGGATGGGAAGCTGAGTACATACGACACTTAGCATGAGAAACACTATTTAGTGATGTATTAGAGTGTTTTGACAGGGGGTAAGTCCCTAAATTTTTTGGTGAAATTAAAACATTTCAAAACGTTCTGGAAAAATTATTTTCGGTTCTGGGGGTCAATTATAATCACTTTTGGTGAATAGATGTATCCTTGAAATCCTAACCAATTTCGAGAAAAAAATTCAATGAGTGGATAAATTTTTCTACAAAATTAAAAGATTTCAAAACGTTTAAAAAAAATTATTCTTAGATGCAGGGGTCAATTGCAATCATTTTTGGTGAATACACATACCCCCGAAATTCTACTCATTTTCGAGAAAAAAATTCGAGTAGGTACTGACATTTTTAGACGAAATTAAAAAATTTCAAATCATTCTGAAAAAATTATATTTAGTTGTAGGGGTTAATTAGAAGCATTTTTGGTCAATAGACATACCCCCGAAATTTTAACCATTTTCAAGAAAAAAAATGAGTAAGTAGACAAATTTTTCGACGAAAATAAAAAATTTCGAATCATTATAAAAAAATTATTTTTGGCTACAGGGGTCAATTGCAATCATTTTTGGTGAATAGACATACGTCTGAATTCCTAACCATTTTAGAGCAAAAAATTCCTTTCTGAAAATATAATTTCTGGCCTGAAATGTTACCTCGAAGTTTCATGCGAATCTTTAAAACGTCATAACTTCTGAATGGATTGGACGATTTTAATGTTTAAAAATGCAAATTACGCGTATTTTAGTGGAGAATATGTACAAATTCCAAAAATATTCAAAAAGTTCTTCCTTCACGCCGCAAAGTTAAAAAAACCCCATAAAAATGGTCCAATTTTCAAACTCCCACAACTCCTATAATAGTGAACGTATCTCATTGAAATTTTTTTCCAAAGCAGAGCCCATGGGTACCTACAAAAAAGTATTAGACAACTTTTCTGTAGAACGTCAAACAAATTTATTAAAAATGAAAAACTAAGTTTTAAGAAAAATCGACAGGGGATATCCCTTAATTTTTCAACGAGAAAAAAAAAAATTCCAAATCGTTCTAAAAAAATTTTACTTAGTTACAGGGGTCAATTACAATCATTTTTTATCATTAGACATACCCTCGAAATCCAATCCAATTTCGAGAAAAAAATTCGAGAAGGTGTGCAATTTCTCGACAAAATTCAAAAATTCCAAATCGTTTTAGAAAAATTATTTTTGGTTGCGAGGGTCAATTACAATCATTTTTTATCATTAGACATACCCTCGAAATCCAATCCACTTTCGAGAAAAAAATTCGAGTAAATGGACTTTTTCGACAAAATTCAAAAATTTCAAATTGTTCTAAAAAAATTATTCTCAGTTGCAGGGGTCAATTACAATCATTTTTGGTGAATATACCTATCCCCGAAATCCTACCCACTTTCCAGAAAAAAATTCAGTAAGACTGAAACTTCAAACTTTAATAACTTTTAAACGAAGCCTCCATCAACAAATTACTATTCTCAATTTCCATGTTATTTTGATCCCCAGAATCTCCCATTAAATTGTTGCCCCACGAACACCCTAAATATCAAATTGTAGAATCGTAGGGCAGTAAGAATCAATTCGCTCAAAAAACATCTTCTCCGCGGTTTAATTAATTACACCGTCCGCGCGACGCGGGGGCTTCCCCCATCGAGAGCGTTCGATTAAGAACGCGTTAAAAATCGACTCGAGAACCCCTCCCGTCGCGATCGATCGACCACCGGGTCTCTCGTTGCACGAAATAGCGAAAATAAGAGAAAATTGGACGTACTGCTTGCTCGGGAATCCTTAGTCCCGAGGTGGACGAAGCCAATCTCGCTGAAAAGCGTCCGAGCTTAGTGGATCTCAATAGCAACAGCGCCGAGCACATGATTGTTGCTTTCCTTCTTCTTCCTCTCGTTTCACTGTACAACACAAATAACAATTTTCCTAATCGAAGCCACCGTCGCGCTGAGTACGTACGTCGAAGAAACGGACGGAAGAGGATTCGAGTTAATTACCGGATTGGATGTACGAGTTCTTAGGGGGTTGGATCAGATAGGGGCAGGTGATCACGCGAGAACGTCCGTTAATGGGCGCAAGGGAGGATTCCAGAGGACGCAAGTGGATGGAGAAAGACGAAAGTCAGGGACAAGATGTCGGATGGTAGGTGGACCTCGTTGCCGAGGCGGTCGTCGCGGTGGTTAACGACATACTACTGTTTCATGCTCGGACGAAATCGCGGCAGAAAAATCAACGTTATCGTGTCAAGATTAGACGTCTATCCTCGAGCAAACGTTTGCGGTGCAACGGGTGGGAGGTGATTCTTCTCGAGGAGCTTGACGTTTCGCGCGACAATCGACCTTTTGTGACGCCACGAGAGAATCCTCCGCGTCTCCCGTCCCTTGGGTAGCCAAGGCCACGCAAAGTCCGTCTTCGACCCGTATGCAAAGAATTAGCGGTGCAGCGCTCGTGCACTCTGACCCCGGTAATCGAGCAAACAGAGTCGCTATCGCTTCGCTCGTTCTCTTCCCCCCTAGTTGCTCTGTGCACGCCAGCGATAAATTACGTCTCGAGAATATTGCTTCCATGTTTATTTCACATTTCGGGGATCCGGGACTCTAAAAAACGGGGGATACACGAGGTATGTTCCTCATTCACGACTAGGAGGATTGTTCCGTCGGTTTTTTCTCCTCCTCCTCCACTGTTGTTTACGTCAGCCATGTGGGTTCGATCTATCTCCAAGACCTTCGATCACCGACGTACGCGTAGCGTGGAAGAGCAGACTGATAACGATCATAGCGTTGATTCTGTTGAATCAATATTAGAAATAAGTTTGCATGGACGTATGAGAGCATTGCATGAATCGATTGTAATTGTAGTCTCAATGCAGTACTCAATATCAGCTTTGCGATAGTCTTCTTTCAATCCTTGCATCGAGCATCAGTTCTGCAATGGCTGTTGAAGTAAGAATTAGGGAAGTAGTTTCTCTCCAATGTCGTCGATTGTTTTCTATTCTGCCAGGGGATGCAACTGTCTAAAGATTTATTAGAACGTATGCGTGAATATTCGCGGAGCAACAAAGCGACTATCGGCGTGGATGGCCAACATGGATGCCTCGATAAGGGCTTTCTCGGTCGAAACAGTCGAACAGTCGGCGTTTCACGCGACCTATTCACGGTTTTCCATCTTTGGGAACGAGAAACAAAAGAGAAAAAATGTGCAAATGTGTCGCGAGCACCCCGCCACTCCACTGCGAACTTTTAACCGTGAAAGCCCACGTGTCTGGAACTGCGAACGACAAAACGCGAAATTAATATGAAATATGTCGTCCTCGTGGGCACAGAACTCCTACTTATTCAATTAACCGACCCTTTGTCCAGTTTTACACCACCGTTTCGAAACCAAATTTACAGAATCCCTGAATTCTGAACGTCGAGCAGCGAATTAATTTGGTAAAAGGGGTTGCACCAGGGCTAAAAAAAAACGAGCATCGGGTAAAATTTCGTTGGAATAAACAGAGCCCGCGTGTTTTCGACGCTTCTGGCGGCGGGGATTCCAGCGAAAATTTTACTTCAGAATTGATTTTTTGTTGTTTCGCCATCTTCCGAATATAGATTCGAAACGGTGGAACGAATTTCCCCGTGAAAGTAAGTCTAGCGACTCGGAGACGCGATCGCGAACTCTTCGTTCGTGAAAAGGGGGATCCTGAAGCTGGAGGTGACGTGGGTGGATGATCTTGGCGGTTGATATTCGACCTTTCGTTGATATTTTGTAGTCTGGTTTCATCCCCCATTTTGCAAGAATCCTTATTTCGACGATACTCGTGGAATTGTTATGCTCATTGACTCCTGCGTTGTTCCGTGCAGATCACCATCTGGCCGCAGGAGTCATCAGGCTTCCTAAATCACATCGACGCGCTGGATACGGGAGCCATTCGTTATCCCCCGTCAAATCCATTGTTCCTACGCGGACTACTTATTCGTCATTGTGGACAACGATTTGACTCGATTGATTGCGCGTGGATTTCGTGCCAGGCACGTCGTCGAGCGAAGATTTATCAGAACTAGCCGTGCATGAGTAAATTTAAGTCGTCGGGGGCAATTTGTTTCGCGTTGGATGATGGATCAGGCTTTGGACTGCTCCAGCGAATGCTCACAGCTCCTCTCGAACACGGTGCCTCCTTACGCAAAAATGGGAAACCGATTCGACGCCGGGAATCCCCCTCGGGGGTTCCCGTCTAGGCGAAGAGCTTCCCCGGAAATAGCGCGCGCTCGAAATACCGGCGTCGATCATTGTACACGATCACGTACGAAACGCGAACGCGAAAAGCCCGGGCGAGCCTCGGAAAAATGTGAAACGAGAAGGCGCGACGGGGAGGAGGGGGGGGGGGGGCTCCTTTGTTCCGTCGTTTAAAACACAGTAATTCCTCCGGCAACGGTGAAAAGTTTTTGAAAGCTATTTAAACTTACCGGGGCGGCTCGTTATTCCGTTCGCCCTACGTCGGCGGATTCACTTAAAATCGAGGAAACGTTGGCGCCCGTTGATAGGCAACGTGCCCCGCGATGCGTTTACTCCAATTGCCGGCCGGGTCTCCGCACCAAAGCGAAAGTTCACGGGAGCCCGTCGAATCTCGCGGAGATAAAGCGAAGAACGGGAGGGCGGAACGATTACCGCCAAGGAATCGCTTCGCTTCTTCCAAGTGCGGGAATTCCAGCTTCGTTTTTGCACGGGGAACCACCCTTACTCATTCGACGGACCAACGCCACTTTAGTTTTGCCTTTAATTAACGCGACGATAACGACGAAATATTTATTACGACGTGACCGCGAATAAATAACGCGAACGTTATTGCATCGTTCCGATAAGGGCCCCGAGCAAGAAAATCGCAATCTGCCGCGAGAAAAACATGATCGATGTGATACTCGCGGTGTTGCAGTTAGCGAATTAAGGCTCGAACGGTTCCATTCTGCGCCCGGAGTTCCCAACAAGAATTAAACATTTATTTTGATCGTTAGTTCTTGTATCCCTCCTGGCAACGGCGCCGAGAACTACAACTTTTTACTCTATTTATACTGTCGGTGGTTTTAAGCGTCGCTGGGTCTATTTTTAGCGCGCGGTTTGTTCGCGATAAGAGAAAGAAGCGTGATAAATATAAAAATACGAGTTTGGACCGTCGACCGATATTCGACCAACTGTAATTGATTCGGACTCAATTGGATGCTCCAAGCTGGGGACTCTGAGAGAAGAGCTTGTTGCATTGGACTGTACAACTATAGCAGAAGACTCTTTACTCTATGATTTTGGAAAACATCAAACATTGGAGCGTTTGTCATTCCTTTTACACACATTTACTTGCATTCCTTTTATTCTTTTCTCTTGCAGGGTTCATTGTTTGCCAGGGGACAGGGCTACAGATAGAGCAGACATTGGACTGTACAACTATAGCACAAGACTCTTTACTCTATGATTTTGGAAAACATCAAACATTGAAGAGTTTGTCATTCCTTTTACTGACTACTCTTCTCTCTTGCAGGGTCCATCATCCGCCAAGGGTGGCTTCAAATGGCGCAGCGTGCATTCCGGCTGAACTCTGGACGCGATCATCCACCGAGAAAATCGTCCAGCTTTTAGTGGCATCCGGAGTGCGCCGAATGGCCATAATAAAAGTTACATTTCATAACCAGCAGCGCGCTCATAATTGACGAAGAAAAAGAATAGGGGTAGCGGAGGGCCGGATGAAACAGAAGCAGTAAAACCGTGACGAATCGTCGCGTATTCTAATCTGCGACCGCCTGCAGCAAGCAACAAAAGCCTCCGGAAATCCCTGCCGGAGACAGAAGCGCAAGCAAACAGAAGACTCATCGAATTAAACTTGGACGACGCCGGGGCTACGGGGTCGGAGGATTTAACCACGCGTTTCCAGAGATGCGCTTCGACGTCGCGTGTCACCCGGGAGATGGGAAAAAGAGCCTCACGGCTGGACGTGGAAGCAAAAATAATCTTAGATCAGGCTCCTAAGATATTTGGCTTTTGCTCTTTCAGCAGGACCTCTATTCCTTTATCCATGTTGTTTATTATTGTTTAATACACTAACTATTGCAGTCATAGGTGTCTATCTGATGTTGCAAACAGAGCATATGATTGCAGGATATTCCTGTGTGCTATGACTTCGATGACTATGACCACCACTGTTGGATGACTTCCCAAGGAATGTGGCTTTCCCAGCAGGATCTCTCTTCCTTTATTTGTGTTCTTTATTATTGTTATCTAATACAATAACTATTGCAGCCATAGGTGACTATCCCCTGCAGATACTGACGTTGCAAACAAAGCATATGATTGCAGAATATTCATGTGTGCTATGACTATGACCACCACCTCTGGATGGAGTTCCCAAGGAATGTGACTTCCCAAGTAGGATCTCCCCTTCCTTTATCCATGTTTTGTTTACCACAGTTTGATACAATTATTTTCGTGCCCGTAGCCATCTGTCCACTGGAAACGCTCCAGCCAAAACACATGAATTGCAAATACCAACGACGGCAGAGCTTCCCGCGGGCCTGCACAACTTCTGAAATTTATTTGTACCTTGCCCTTAAGCGTATGACCGTAGAGAGCATAAGCGAGGAGACGAAGGATACAAATAGAAGGGAGGTAAAAAAGAGTAAAGTAAAGGTGGGGAAGAGAGGGAGGGGGCAGCGAAAAATGGAAACAGAAAGAGGGAACATACGTTTTCAGAAAATACCGCCCTCCGGATGGTCCCCTCTCCCTCCGGGTAGCCTCTTCCTTGTTCCTCGGCCCGTTTTTCCCAATTCTGGCAGCTACGCGAGGAGAGAGAGTTTTGTCGGACAGGGGAGGGAGGGGATCCCGCGCATGTGCCACGGGGGTGGCAAGCCTCGAGGACGTAACGGCGCCGGAGACAGAGGGTGGAAGCAGGAAAGAGTGCAAAGGGGGATGCGGTTTCCCCGTGGGAGGAAGAAGGAAGAACGCAACGGGTACAAGGGTAGGGGGAGGGGTGAGGATGGTGAGATACGTGTGAGAGTACCCTGAAGAGCGGCGTCGGTAGTACGCGGGGTGGTGGAAGGCCAAGGGGACGACGAGGGGCGAGGGGCGACCGTTCACGTCTTTTCGACGTCGACGCAACCCTGTTGGCGCAGAATAGCTGCTCAGTGCTCGTCGAACGGCGCTGTGTTGCGACGGGACCATGCCGCCGCGCCCTGCACCACCGATCAACCGATCTCAGGTACGCGAGATTCATTATCATCCACCGAGAAATTGGCTCTCCATTTACCCCGGCGTGACTGCCGGCTACTGTTCCTGTGCACCCCCGAGCGCTGTCACCCGCGCCTCCCGACGTCGAAACAAAACGTGTCTACGGGCGGATAGATCCGCGAGATGAATCTCCGTCTCGTGGGGGGACCCCCTTTGCTCGATTATGGTTTTTGTGCGTTCTCGTGTCACCGTTGGTCCGTCGTCCTAGCCAGTGACAAGTTAAAAAAAAAAACACATTCTTTGTTATCTGTTTTCACGCGGTTCACTATTAACCATCCGCGAGGTGTTTCGATCAATCTTATTTTAGTTTGTAACCGGTCTCCAAACATTGGAGGATTGTCTATCCTAAATTTTTAATAGAACGAGGTTGCTCGTTTTTTTCTTTGTTCCGAGATCTTTGCCACGGAATGACGTGCAATCGACGACCGGTTATCGATTAATTATAAAAAAAAAGAGAAAGGAAAGAAACCGGGACTCGAGGGAGGAAGTTATTATCGTAGGAGCTAGATGCATCTTCGGTGCGTCCTCCTTTCTGTCGAAGCGGAAGCGTCGTTTTATAGAATTTCTTCGATCGTGAGTCGCCGCTGTCGGGTCTCGATCGCGCGCGATAAATTGTGTTTCGATCTTTATTGCACGTGATTTGGGTATTGTGTGAAGTTTAAGATTGTGCCCACAATAGTGCCCACATTGGCAACCAAAGTTGAAAAAGTTGAAAGGCCAGCTGAGTGCGTGGTCACCTATGTGGGCGCTGCTGTGGATGCCAGTTGTCTCTTGGAGAGTGTTTAGGACGTGTGGGGAAAAGGGTCAGAAGGGAAAGAGAGTGGACGAAGCGGGGTCTTTGGGTAGTTTGAATTCTCCGTTTACCCTCGTCTACCGGTAGGGTCGTTTTGTGTACACATCCCGAGACTACGTGTGAAATGATTAAGGCCGTTCTGTGTGTGTTCTCCGGTCTCTGTGTCGAAGATCGAAGAAGCGCGAAAGGATTGCATGCCGGATTTCCTGCGGATCCTGAAAGAGACGCTTTTGATGAGCGCGCGAGAAACGTTTCGCCTCGTTTCCTCGACAGTGGGGACCGATCTTCTTGTTGGGAGATTCGGCGGCCGCTTGTTTAAATCTCGCTCCGACGTTCCCGCGCGGTTAACCGCCGAAACGGACCAGTGTTCCCCGAATCGAAACCAGAAGACCAAGATAAATCGAACGGATCGAAATGGAACTTTTATCGATATTTGTTTCGGGTCTACGAGAATACGTTAGGGACAGGGAAGTATTTGATTCTCTCAGATTGGAGGAACTTTGTCGTTTTAACGACCGTCGGTGTTCGAAGTTCTTGACCCGCGGAGGCAGAAAAGTTAATAGAAAACGAAGGGAACGAAACTCGTCGAAAAGTCGGAGTATTTATAATGGTCGATCGACGGGTGCGTATTGGTTTTATTCTACTTTGATTCATGCTACTTTCTTACGTAAACGTTTTCGAAGTTTTAAGCACGCTGGAAGTAGGCAGGGTTAACGTGATTGTTAATTCGAGGGTTTTTAATCAATCGAATTTACGTGACGCTCGAAGCTCGTTAAAGAACGATCCATATTCACGACGTGTATCGATGCGGTAAAAGCGTTTCTCGTTCCTCGTTTCGACGGCATAAAGGAAACAGACCGTTTCGGTGTATCGTTGCAATAAAAACTGTATGTGAAGAAAACATAAAAGAGTCGTCCAGCAAAAATGGCGGGGGACAAAATAGATAGACGAAAACTGGCTTCAAATCTTGAACCTAACCTCGAGCTTTTCCCTTATGATGTTTACGTTAGGATACTGATATCGATCAGAGCTTAGAGATCAGAGGAAAATTTTGCAAGTAGACGAAAACTAACCTCAAATCTCGGATCTAACATCGATCTTTTCACCACGGTGTTTAGGTTAGGAACCCATTGATATCGATTATAGCTGAGAGATCAAAGGAAAATCGCTCAAGTAAACGAAAAGTAACCTCAAATCTCGGTCTTTTCCCCATGGTGTTTAGGTTAGGATACTGATATCGATCAGAGCTGAGAGATCAGAGGAAAATCGCGGTGGAGAATAATGGAGGAAAACTGAGGCAACAAACGTCCAGAAAATAACATCTTGCTGTTCTCCTTTTTCGGTTCGTTACGCTTCGGCGGATGCGCCACGCGAGCACGGCGAGGGTATCTCGTGGCTCGAAGAATAGATATTTCATTGTTACGGCTGGGAATATTTTTCGCCGACAGGAAATAATGCTCGTCCCGTCTTGTCTCGTTAGGAGGATTCCTGTAGCTATTCTTGTATGTCGCTCGCCCGCGGGCTTTATGCCGCGCGACCGGATTAATGGCACAGAAAAAGAAGATACTTTTCGGTTGGCCGGTCGGCGGGGAGGGGGGAGGGAGTCCCCGTATTCTCCGCCGCGGCGAAACAAAGTTCAGTTGCGCGGCTGTCGCTTCGTCAGGAGCCTGGTCGCTTTGAAACGACGCGCGTTTCGCTTTCAATTTCAATATTCGCACGCTCCAAGAGCCCCCGCGATCGTCCATTTTCCAGAAGACGCGATCCCCGTGTCAAACGTCGGGGGAGCTTGGATCGCGTGAAGCCCGAAAGAAATTGTATTGTACGGGACCGCGTCGCGAATCTGGGACGAGCCCTATTTCCCTTTTTAAATTGCGGATAGAAAAGAAAGGGTAGATGCGCAAATTGAACGGTTTAAAGAGGCGTAACTTCCCTTTGATACCACTTTCCTCGCCAAGTGCTGCGAAATTTCAAGCGTTTTAACCGTGCAAGGTGCTTCCAGGAATTGAGTCGAGCGATTGAGACTGGCAGAAAATTGTCGGGGGAACCCCCGTTATGAAATTTTACTGAAACAGTAAATTGTCTTTGTTTTATGACTCATTCGGCTGTTAAAACCATTGCTAAGACAACAATTTATGTAAGCACGTAACAAAATGGCTGCGTAGTCAAAGAAAAATTTCTGGAATTTTAAGATTAGGGGACTCACCACCGATTTGGATGATTTTTAGATATGTTATAGAGCTCGATATTCTAAACAATTTTGTATTATACATATAACCCCCATTGGGCCTTAGTTTCCGAGATATTTGTAAAATTCTGTGGGGAGTCCCCTATTCTAAACAATTAATATTGCACTTGGAACGTAAAATTCTGTATATTTGTGTTTTTAATATACAGATACAGGGTGGAATTTTGCTAACTACGATGATAAACTTCCCCGTATCGTTTCTGGCCCGCCATTGGCGAATCTACGACTGGAAATTTTCCGTTTTGCGCGTCGCCGTCACTTTCTCTAGGCACTCTCGATAAAATATTCTTCGGCCCCTCGGGTTCAACCGTTCGAGAAAAGGTTTTGCAAGTGTTCGAGGTGTCGGTTGAATTTTCGCCGTGCAGGGGAGAGCGGCATAGGTTATTGATTATCGTGAACGGCTTTATAAATAACCGATCGTGTAGGAGCCAGTCGCCGGAAACGCGTAAATATCGCTAGCCGGGGCGATTCTTTAAAAAATCGCCCCAACGATGATCCCGCAGCGCCGCGTATCGCCCCGCGACCGATGAAAAATCCGGTCGTGTTTGATCGATGCCTCCGTAATTCGCCTCGAATTCTCATTTTCGTTCTATTATTCGCGGACGGTCGCGCGCGGATAGACAAATCGGACAACCGGGGTCTGGTGTGCTCGAAAGGGCTCCTATATTGCTCGTTTGCGCAACACCCTCTATCCCAGAAGATCATTTACTCTCCTAACCTATAAACTTAGTCTTTTGGATCATCCAAACTCATTATTATTTCATATTTTTTACTCTTAATTTGTTAAACTTTCCATTTGATTTAACTACATTTGAATTCGGATAAAAACATAACCTCTATCGATTCTGTAATTTTTTATTTACGTTATTTTTCTCCTAACCTATAAACTTGGTCCTTTGGATCGTCCAGACTCATTTTTCTTCCATATTTTTTACTCTTAATTTGTTAAACTTTCCATTTGATATAGCTACATTTATACTCTGGTAAAAACCTAACCTCTATCGATCCTGTAATTTTTTATTTACGTTATTTCTCTCCTAACCTATAAACTTGGTCATTTGGATCGTCCAGATTCATTTTTCTTTCATATTTTTTACTCTTAATTTGTTAAACTTTCCATACAATTTAGCTACATTTGTACTCTGGTAAAAAACATGAACATAACCTCCAACGATCCTGTAATTTGTAAACTCTAGGATCAGAGAGAGGTGCAAAGATTTTTGTCAATCGACGAACATTTGTTATTTACGTAACGAGACGCGAGGTCTGTTAAGCGTCCCGAGAACAAGGACGTAAATAGTGGCATGTTTTGCGTGATTAAAATAGCTTTAATAAGGCGAGCGGTAACTCAAGTGTCTCTCGACCGTTGATAGATCGTCGATTGTACTCGGTCACGACCAATTCCGTACCATTAATTTTCATTCAAGCCGCGCAAATAGCGCTAAATAAATACGTATTATGGATGCAATTGTTAGGAACCGTTGCCCACGGATACGAGCAACGCCAAAAGACGAATCAGAATTAATATTTTCCTCTTGTTACGCTGCTCGGGCGGAAAGACAGCGGACGTAACTCTGTTGTAAATATTTGCTCACCCCCTCCCTCCCCTCCCCTGGAACGAAACGCGTCTTTATTCGTCCTCTCTCCGTAACCTTTGTGTCTTCTTCCTGGCAAGTTTGCCCAGGCACCTGAAGCAGAATCGTACCGTCGGACCAAAGACTAATTTCGTTTACTGCGAATTACTTTCGAGATCGCTTTTTTATTCCATTCGAACGATCCGGATTCGATCATCAAGAGTCTTAAAAATCGCACGATCGATATTGCAACACGTGTCTCGAAACAACACGCGACCATTCGGATAATCGATTACTCGAGTTCCCCATTCGATAAACTACGTTCTAACCAATCAATCTGTCGCGCTACAAACAAACGG